TTCAATCATTTTGTACTTCACGCATATATAATTGTTAAAGCTGGTATTCTAAAAAAATGTAAATTCCAATTGAATAGTTAATTAACTGTGTATTTTTAGATTAATATATATGTGTTATCTATTTACTGAATGTTTAATAAAAATGAGATACTTCTATCATAACTTATTCGGTGTTGTATATAATATACTATTTGTCTAAATATTTTCATGTTATAATCTTTACTGTCAATGTTAATAAATGTTAAATAAAAGGGAAATAAATGACAGCTATTAGTATTTCTTAATCTGCCAAATGTCATTGCTACAAGAGCATTCTGTCCCCCATATCCTATAAAACATATATATGGATCAAAGGCCTGTATTTATCATTATACATTCAGTTTTGCCAAAATAAATTTAAGCTAGTATATTATACGACTAAGGCTAAGCGCAAATTGAGTCGCGTTTATCGCGTGTGACATGACCTGGCGCGACTGACATGACGCGACGCGCCACACATGCTTCGTAGTGATGCGCAAATTGGGATGCAGTTTTTCAATAACTAACCTCTGCAACCGTATAAAAGCGTCTGCATTAAGATGTCTGAACAAACTCATCGAAATAATTATTGGTTTATTACTAAACTTTAGTTATGAATCAGAATCAGTTGATTCCGAAGAAAAAAGTTTATTCTATTCTAAATACGCGACGCGCCTATAACTGTGTCTCAACTACAGAGACGCGCGCTGGTCAGGTAGCGTGCGACAAAACTCGCGTCGCGCCATGTCATGTAATACGCGATATACGCGACTCAATTTGCGCTTAGCCTAAAAGTACAGTAAACTACTTATATAAGTACATATTTTATAGCACCACTATAAGTCAATAACGACTTGGACCACTTAGTCCGATTTTTTCTGCTTTAATCATCTATCAAACAAAACTGACTATTTCCGCCATGATCGCTGCTTGTATATCCTTGTTTCTCTCGCTCGTTGTTTCTCGAACTTTCGACACGCCATCTCTCAATTTTTCTTGAAATCATCGCGGCCTGTACAAAACAAATCTTCGGCGTGTACATAGTGCCATCTCTCAGCTTCGCCATCGACTCTATAGAACAAGCTAGACTATTTTTCTTATAGAAATCTGCCATTACAATTTGATTACACTAGAGATCTCTTTTCCGTTAGGGCTGGTCGTTTCATCTTTTATCAATAGATGTCGACTCGCTTGTGGCCTGTAACTAGTGATGGGAAATTCGGATTTTTTTCGAGAGTCGATTCTTTGGTTCCAGATTCCAGATCATCCCAAAGATCCGGATCTTTATCGTATCTATTCTCAGCTCACAAATAATTTTTTGTTTATGCCTTATTATTTTTGCATTGGTGTAATTTTTTTTGTTTTGCTTTTTAATTGCCTTGGTGATCTGGCACCCAGAATAGGAAAACTGTTTTTTTACAACCTAATTTGTTCAGCTTCTCTAGGCATTCTTTGACCAACTTCAAATTGATGGTTACTGAGTTGATCGCTTTTAGTGCTGCTTGACTATCGGATAAGATGGCTATTTCCTATTTTCGATAGTTCCTATCTAAGATAAAGCTACGCGTCTTTCGATAGCGTTAGATTTCTGCCTGAAAGGTGCTGGAGTAGGTGCCCCTTGATTCGGAGTATTTAGTTTTCGGTCCAAATACCTATCCCTATCCTTGCTTTGGTTTTGGAAGCATCAGTATACCTGGTATGCTGATGCCATATGTGAAGTAAAAGACCATACCATAACGTGGTATAGTATACCACGTTATGGTATGGTCTTTTACATCCCGAGGAAACGTTTCTACCCAATCCTTTTTATTGCTCAATGCTACTATCGGTACTTTATTGACATTTAAATATTTTTCATTATAAGGGATATGTAAATAAAGAAAAATCCAAGAAAGTGTCAAAATCGTTCAAAAAAAGCGGCATAACGACAAAAACGTAGAACTGTCCGTCCTCTCAAGATCAATCCTACAAAAATTTGGGAGTCTATAACTATGACTCTATGACTATTAGTCTAGGCGCAAATTGAGTCGCGTCTATCGCGTGTGACATGACCTGGCGCGACGCGAGTTTTTGTAGACTACAGAAATGAATGGGACAGCGCAAATTGGCAACAAAACGGAGCGCGACCCGCGTGATCTGACCAGCGCGCGTCTCTGTAGTTCAGGCTAGGCGCAAATTGAGTCGCGTGTGACATGACCTGGCGCGACGCGTGTGTTTTGACTCGTGTATTTCAGACACAGTTTCGGCCTCGCTTTCCCGTGCATTATTTTTTATTATTGAATACAGTAAAATATCTACTTCGGCATCATATCTGATTCTGATTCAGAACTAAAGTTTAGTAACAATAATTGTTTCTATGGCGAATCAAACATTTTTATGCAGTCGTTTTTATACGATCGCAGAGCGAGTCACTGAATAACTGCGTCCCAATTTGCGGACCACCACGCAGCGCGTCGCGTCATGCCGGTCGCGCCAGGTCATGTCACACGCGATTTTATTTGCGCTTAGCCTCAGTTTTTCACGCGTCGCGTGCCCCGCGTTCGCGTGCGTTATTTTTATTATTGAATACTGTAAGAAATTTTCTTCGGAATCATCTGGTTCTGATTCAGAACTAAAGTTTAGTAACAATAATTGTTTCGATTGCAAATCAGACATTTTATGCAGACGTTTTTATACGGTCGCAGAGGTGAGTCACTGAAAAACTGCGTCCCAATTTGCAGACCACTACGAATCGCGTGTGGCGCGTCGCGTCAGCCGCGCCAGGTAATGTTACACACGGCTCAATTTGCGCCTAGCCGTAGTCGCATTTACAGAGGAAGCCAAGAGCGTATGTCCTTTCCGTAATGTGGTCGTCCATTATTCCGTCCTGAGACAACCCCTATTTGCGGCATCTTTTTGATTGGCACCCTGTTAAAACGTGTATTCCCCTATTCATAAATATACGTAAAAATTAGGTTTTAAGTAAAAATAATACTGACGGAGTTCTATTATCGACGAGTCTGAATGTTTTCATTAATAAATATATTGTTTTCACTATTTTCACAAGTTTCAGCCTTCAGAAGAGTGACAAAACTTTTTTGACAGCGCGTTTGAGGTAGCGCTGACGCTTTGTGTCCCCATACTGCCCTGTCTGACTGTTATATTTTTGTTTTACATTGTATTCATCTACAAATTTTCAGCCTTCAGAAGACAGTTTGGACGTGTTAATTAAAATTACACCTTCGCGCGCTTCTCAGCGCCAGGTATCCCGTAACTGCCCAGACAGCACAGTGACATTAAAGACATCTATAAGACAACTTGTTTCAACATTACTGACATCTCAAAGACGTCTATTTTCAACATCTTTAAGACTTCTTGAGTACAATGTCTTTAAGATATATTTTAACAATGTACCATTGCGATAAAAAAAGTAGTACAAGAATTAGTAGTCCCAGATAGAACTCCTGGTCTATAAGGATATCGAGAAGTGGATATCGTCGAACAATACAATTATGCCATCTTTTTAGGCATTACCATGAATTTGGTAATAATTGGTAGGTATACGTCTATACGTGGCGAAATAAAAGTATAAAAAAATTACCTACTTTTAAAAATGGGCAATTTTTTAAGTTTTTTTTTATTTTATTATAGACCAGCAGATTAAATCATATTTTGTTGTACTACTTTTTTTTATCGCAATGGTACTTAAGATGTCTTTTAATATGAATGAAAATGGGAAACAATGGTGAATTATAAAATAAAACATCTTCTTGGACTGGCATTATTGTCTTTAATTTTTAAATTAAGCATGTTTCTCTCAGATGAGTTACACTGACCAATATGAAGTGAACAGTTAACATTTTATAATAGTGATATATCTGACCGAAACGTTATGTATTGGTATTTTCTTCTTGGACAACAACTATATATATAGCATGTGTTATCACGCGCATCTAATATATGAATCATAGAAATAAGATAATTGTTCAAATATATCTAACAACCTAAATGTTTTAAACTTACCTGGCTTACCTACAATATCAGCTTTAACTTCTTTGATCAGCTTTAATGGTGAAATTTTGGTAAATTCTCTGATGAAACTTTATATCACGTCCCTTTGCCAAATGGTTTTGCGCGCCTTTTTACAACTTACAACAACGACAAGAACAAACATTTTCCGCGGGTTTTTTCAGAGATTTTCGATCACATAACCTGACATAACCTCACATCAACATCGACCACAACCACAAAAGATAACTGTCACGCCTGTCAATCGTCATATTTGCGCCTATAAATTAAATCAGGATAATGTTTTTATTTCTGTTAAGTATCTGAGTAAGCTGAGTATCGCCTACTCTAGAAAAAAAACGAGAATAGAAAAAATTAAAAATCTCTAAAAATTTCTAATCATTTCTAATGTCATTTTAGAGACGTCCTAAAGATGTTTTATTTCGTCATTTTATGAATATCTTTAAAATAATGTCCAAAAGTTGTCTTATTTTAGTCTTTAGGCGTTAAGATCTAATTAAGATATAAAAAAGACTTTAACACTAAAATGCAATCAATTTTGAAAATATGGGCCTTCAGAAAACTCTTGCATGTTTTTGCACCCGGCCCTTGGACTATATGGCAAAACTTGATGCCACCATCTGATTTCGATCATAGGGTATTTCTGTTTCATCGGTCACCTTCCCGACATCGTCACGCAGTTTCGTCCTACCCCTTTAACTCATAAGTAGGTATCTATTATTATTATTTCACTGAATGTTTTTAATAGCGTACATTACTACTGGAGCAAATTATATCGCCGCTCCGGAAAACGATACAATTTCACAAAGGCAAAAATTACACTTTAAAATTAAAAATATCTATAATAGGAAATAGCCGTGATTTATTAATTATTGCACTTTTGGGTTAAAAAACTTTTTTTTCATTTTCACACTTCTGTAAAATTGACCGTTCTTCCGGAGCGACGATATGTATTTAGAAAATAAAAACAGAAATAAATTTAAAATGAATCTTTATTTATCGACGCAATTTTTTTAAGTAAAAACTTTTTTTAAATGCAATGCCACTATAACTAAAGGCGAACATTGAAACAAAATCGATACAAAAAATGTTATCGGATACACCGCACATCTAAAGGTGGAATGACTTCAATTAAAATTATATTATTATTATTATTACGTTTAAACATACGAACAAAAAATAATATTTAATATTTGATCAATAATATTAATGGTGTATCTGTTACTTAAAATTGTATACACTGGTTTTAATCGTTAAAATAATTATAATTGACCGCAATCAGCTACAGTGATCTTCTTCGAGGTCTTGCCGGACTGTGAACCAAGAGATTCGATTTTCTTAACTACGTCCATTCCTTCAACGACTCCTCCGAAGACAACATGCCTAAAACAAAGAAAAACAACGTTAGAACTTGAAAATGAGAAGTAATATCGACAACAATTTTCAACATAAAGAAATATCTAAAATTAAAAAAAAAACAGTTTATTTGTTCAAATAAAGAAACGAAAAAAAAATAAAAATTAGCTATAGATAGTAATTTTCAAGTGAAGTAAATAGATACGTTAAATAAATAAATCAAGTAGTAAGTAGTAAAAACCAGGGGGGTGACAGTAAACCGGAAAATTGGAAACAGTTGTGGCGCGGTTCTACCCAGGCAGAAAGCATGGCCTTCTAGACTGTCCTAGACAAAAATCTGAATATTTCTATATGATTTCTGTCAATTTGCTACATGAACATTTTTTATGTAATGCTCTATGTCCTGTTCCTTTGTCTTTGTCTGTAACAACGTCAGTCTCTGAGGCCTCTGGCAAGGTCGGGCGCCATTTTAATTTTTGCCGTTTAGATTTGATTGGAAGTTTGTTTCTGATATTTCGGCTGAAATTTATAAGTACAAAGATGTTTTTTGATATAAAGTTCCTTGTTAACACTTTAATAAAGTATATATGATATTAATTACATGAAGAAAATGATGAAATCGACGTTTCGGCGTGTAGCAGGTATGGGCCATATTATAGGTAAAAATAGGTAATATATTAACTGTTTTTATATTTTTTTAGCTTTAAACCCAAGGATCTTGGGATATTCTTTCAAGGATTTTTCCGTATCTCTACTTTAAAGACTGATCGGTGATTTTGAGCAATTGAAAGCAAGTTATACAAGGTAAATTATGATTATTGAACTATTATTAGCCTACGTTAAATTTCTACAAGATGAACAGAAATGCGTAATTACATATCACATAGGTACCTATTATGTATTTTCATAGCAATAATGCTATAAATCTATGTATGTAGATTATTTTTAAAATACAAATGAGGTATTAGATGTATATGTATCATATTTTTTATTCATTTTATTTTCATTCAAGTCCTGTTTGATTTAATTCACAAAAGTCTTATGTAGGTACCTATATTTATATTTTTTACATATTTTTTTTGATTCCAGGTTTTGTGTGGGTTCCGGTTGCCTTTTTCCTGCTTCCAGTTATTTATCCGTGAAGCTGTGAAAACATTTATTTATCTTCAAGTTTCTGTAAGTCAATGCACTGTTACTTTACTAATTCGCTTTAACACAGCATCTCTGATATTATTTAAATATTTAATATTGATACAGTAGTTTATTGGTTTATAGCTCTTTAATTGTGTTGATTTGCATATTTACATTGTTCTAAATTCCAAATAAATATTTTTGAGTAATTTTGTTGTATTATTTACTACTAGAAAGAGTAAAAAGTATATTAACCCTCATTTAAACCTCCCGAACAGCCCGCCATTAAAAACCGGAAACGGAAATAAATTTCATAAAATTGAAATTGTCATGTCTATGTCATGTCAAATGTCCCAGCCGCCATATCTGAAAATTAGTTACCCAGGCAGCCACGCTGTTTCCATAATTTAACATTGACTTGACACTTCTTCTTGTATTTATTATTTTATGGTAAAAACTAGTAACATGATATTAAATAACCAATAAAAAATTTTGCAAACAAAATGTTTGTTAACCTTTTGATATTTTTATTAAGGTATATTTGAATATTGAAAATTTAATGTCATTTTTCGATATATACAGCCCCACTTCTGTCGGTAACGAAATAGGTCAAAGTTGAAATCAATTTATTGCGAATTTTATATATTTATGGATATACAAAAGACGTAAATCAGTTGCTTTAAAACAAAATAAAAACTATGTGAGTATTTTTGAAGATTTTGATATTTGCAATTTCAGATTGCATGATTGTTGATAATAATAATAAATCAAAAAATAACTGTAAAAATGTGTCCTAGAAAACTAAAAAATATTTCTATATGAGGTACCTATAACAGATAATAAATCGAAAAATAATTGTAAATGTTATAAAACTATATAAAAATATCTATTCATCAATTTAAATGTTGGACCGATTTTTGAAGTAATTTCGTGTGAATCCATTAGACCGCTAAACGCAGGGATTTATTTTAAAATTTATGACAAAAATATGTGACAAAAATTCGCTGTTCGAATACATATCATTTGCAAAGTCTAGTGCAGAACCTATTAGGTTCTAATATAGAGACTATATCTTCATTCCCGAGAATTTAGAATCGTCAGAAAATATGTTGGTTTTTTGAAACAGTTGTATGTCTCCAAATTCCTACCAAAATTTTGATCTGCAGTAAGTACTATACACTTTGGCATTAGATATTTTATTAGGAGTAAAAATTATACTTTTTTGACGATGATGTACCTTTGAAGGACCATCTATTAGCCTATCTAGCCTCTATCTTTGAAGGACCATCTATTCCGACTAGAGAGAGGCACAAAAAGTACATTTTTACTCTGAATAGAATACTTTTTTAAACGTTACAAATAATCTTTAATCAATTTCAAACATTGCAAATAATATAAGCAGTAATCGAGCAACAATTATTTGTACTCTCATTGAATTTGACAGTTAATATCAGTTTAATAATATATTTCTGTACTTTTGTGCTTAGGCGTAACAGTCCTTTACTTTTATGCCTAGGCGTTAAAATGACAAAAATTAATACTTTTGAGACGTTTGAAAAAAAATCCGGTTGACCTGAAGGGAGCGATTTTTTTGCGGAATATATTGGTGACTGATGTGGAAAAATGACACGCGCCGTAGAATTGTTAATGTTATCGGTATCGGGCAGAGTAATAAAGATTTAGCCATTCAGAATAGGACTTTAATTGGAAATAAGTCCTAGTCGTTTGGAAATCCGATTTAAATATAAAAAACCTGATTTAAATATAAAAAACTGATTTAAATAAAAAAAATCTGATTTTTTTGTTAAAAAAATCATGATTTTTCCCAACCACTGTTTAAATATAATATGACTAAAAAGTTTTTATGATCAAGTTTGCAATCTATATAGAGATACCAACGATGCATAGATTTTTTTTTGTGATGTTTGCAACACTGATTCTTATTTTTTATTTAATCTATCAATACATCGATCGGCACATGAACGCATTAAACAAGTTGCAACAGAGACACCTTACACAAATGTTAAGAACCAAATGGTTCCCTCACGTATCAAACGCATCGGTCCTTGAAAAAACTATCTGCGAGAGCGCTATTTTAAGTCAAGATTACTAAGTCCCGCTTAAGATTGGCTGATAACGTATGCAGGGTGCAAGAAAACAGCTACCAAAATATCTTCTTTACTATGAGCTTGTTTTTGAGGATATTTTCCATGAAAACTTAAAGGGGATAAGCATGCAGAATCAGTGGGAGGAAGCAGCGCACAACAGAGAAGAATTATAAACAAAATATAGCAAATGAGAAGAATTATAAACTCAATTAACAAAGACAACCAAAAACTAAAAAGGCAACAAAGTAATGAAATTTTTGAATGTCCGGAGTGCGAAAGAGATAACATCCCGTATAGGGCTTTTCAATCACAGAAAAGCATGAGAGAAAACGCCATGCATACCCATCTTCTGATGCGAACTGAAGCCAGGCGAACCAGACCGGTAAACTACGGTAAAGAGCGATTCCTGAAAAACATCGGTTTGATACGGAACGGTTTGGTAAAATACTGGAAACGTCAAATGTTGACGTTTTCTAAATTTCAATACCTCTATTATAAAATTTATTTTTTTTATGCATTTTTAATGTACCTATATTATCTGCTTTTACGTTTGCTTCTTCTTTTCAATAGAGTTTAATATTGAAAAGTACTTTATTAATAAACAGTTAAACTCGTTAGACAGCTCAAGTGAAGATCCAATATTAAGACAGATCAATAATAAATAAACAAATCTAATCAATATTTATATTTTTATAGCTCACAAAACATTCACGATTATTTGTCTTGTTTTTCATGTTTTCTTTAAATGTTCCTGACTTTAAGAAACAATGACTGCATGATAAGTTTAAATGGTCCTAAAAAGTAATTCTATTTAGTTAATGAAATTTATTTATACTTGCCTACCTCCATTGCTTTTGGACGTAAATACAAAATATTATTACAAATTTTAGAAATTAAATGAGAATTTCACTCGAACTTCCAATATTTGCTTGATTTGGTTTGGTTTGATTTATTCACATAAATGACATTGATCGACAAGCAAAACCAGAAAAACCAGCATTCTCGCGCTGGTTAGTTTGGTGACAGTTATAACCGAATTTTTCAGGAACCGTGTTCTGTAATAAGAAAACTTTCAGGAAACCGATAGAAACGGAACATAAAACCATAACCAAGGTAAGCAACGGAATACACCCTTAATTCACATTCAAATGCTTTATCTGGCCATATTTTCGATCTAATCTGTCGAAATATTCCTTGATTGGTTGGACAGACTATACACTGTTCCAATGGAATACTTTATCTCGATTTTTTAACTGGACAGTAAAATTAACTTATGCAAGAACTTTCTGTGATGAGCACTCTTACTTGTTGAAAGATAAACATATTTTTTTTTCTATGTTAACAGTTCACATTGCTTAATGCAGTTTAATGGTACAATTTTATAGTGTTGAACATTTATAAGTAAAAATAAGCGATGATTTTAAGTATGTAACTAGGTATAGGTTAAGTACAGACATAAAATATAAGACGAGTTTCCCTAATAAAAAGGTGGCAAGTCACTACCCACCGACATTAAAAAAATCAAACACGGGGACCTGATCGATACCAGTTGTGTGTGCAACTGCTAATTTCCTTAATTCTTTATGTGGCTGGCTGGAAACGGAAACAGAAAGTTATTTATTCATACTCAAATTACCTAATTCATCACTGTACTGTACGACATAGGCATGTAGATATGTACACAGAAGAAACAAATTGCAGTACAAACACATGCAAAAGGTTAATAGTAGTTATTTTCTCCAATAAAACGTACTTTAAAATATCCTGAAGAAAGATATGTAATTTGGTATAAGTTTACTAGTAATTCAGTATAAAGGGTGACAATTTAAAAAAAAACTCATAGACGTGTTCCTGGGGTCGAAATATACCACCCCTGAAAATATTTGCACTTATTTAAGACTCACCCTGTATATTCTTTATTTTGCGATTTTTTTTAAAATGTCAAATATGACATACCCGAGAGCAATAGAATATTTTTAATGCCATTTTAATACAAAAACTACTGCCAAAGTTAAAATTTCACTTAAATCAATAAATAAAAAATCCCATGCGATGCGGACCTTATCCTGTGATCCTTTAAAAGGTGTAGCATTAAAGCATTAATAGAGAATGTAGGCGGGAACTCAGGAAGTGTTAATGATTGAGCTTAAGAAAAAATATTTATTTATAGATAAATCGATGTGTATTATCTTGAAGTTCAAAAGTTCCCCGCTAGTTAACATTGCCATTTTACACAGGGTGTTTCAAAAAACATGATTTTCAAAAACACAATCTTTCGTGGGGAGACTGCTCACGTAAAAATAAGACGTATTTTTCATATCAACATAGGTCCTATTCTGCTTTGTTTCATAGCTACAGAGTGTTAAAATCTTAATATTCTTTCGATTTATTATAATTTTCTTCTAAGTACTTTTAGCGTTTCGAATTAAATTTTGAGGGTAACAGTTACTATAAGTGCTACATTTTAATGCTAAATGTGTAGGCGGTTTAATGCCAACTAAAAGTTATCTCTTGATATTTTGTCGAATTCGGCCTTCTTGGTGGGATAAACGCAATGTTATTAATCACAATAATTAATAAAATTAAAATAAAAATAAAATTAATAAATTATATATTTTACCTAATTTATTATTAAAAATTAGTACCATTCGTTGTTATTATTACTCCAACCTTCAGCAATTTCAAATAAAAAAATAATAGTATTCAAGATAATTACAAAAGACCTAATTTAAAAAAAAATTTAACATCCTGTAACTCTAAAACTACATATGCATTTCTACACCCATGTTAATAGAAACATGGGGTGTTCCAAAAGTTGTTTTTCTTGTCATAAGATTTTTAAAATATACTTTTTCTTTTTTAATACGTCTCTCATGTTATATCTCGACATGTAAACAAATTATTAAACACCATTACGAAGAAACAATGTTAAAATTCCCCCATTTTCTACTCAGTCAAGTTTTCAATGCTATTTTTTGCATTCATCTATGGAGGCTTTCAAAAGTTGTTTTTCAAAAATAAAAACTTATATTAGTATTATCTAATTTTTTTTGATAGTCCTGGATAAAGTATTGTTTTCTACTCGCATATAATGGCTGTTAGTCACTTGGATGATTCCGTCCGAAGTCATAAGCTTCATCCGCGTGAATAACAGCCATTATATGCTCGTTCAATAATATACTATTAACACCCTGTAGCTATGAAATAAAGCAGAACAGGACCTATGTTGATATGAAAAATAAATCATATTTTTAAGTGAGGAATCTCCCCACGAGAGATCGCACGTTTTTTGAAACACCCTGTATAAGTGAACGGATTGTAAGAAGATTAAACGAAGCAAATCTTATGTCAAGAATGCCTGCTTTGGGACCACAACTTACTAGGTCTGTTGACTAGGACCAAAAACAAAGGCGTGGTTTTAATGTAAAAATTACGAAATAACGTTAGTGTCTTCTTCAAAAGCTATCATCTCTAACAAAAATAAAACTATTGAGATGAACCAAAAACAAACTATAGAGAAAGAATGTAGTCTGATGATAAAATGATTTTTACATTCCTTCCTGTCGTAAACATACTCCACATGGTGTTTCTAACTTTCACCAAAATATGATGAACATTTTGTTTCCCCTAGTATAATTGACAGACAGAAACTTTCATTTTTAAATTAGAAAGAGGTACTAAAAACTCAAATAATTTAGCTACATATTGTTTAAAAACTCATCAAAATGGGCCGATTAGAACAAAATATATTAAACTTTAAAATACATCAAAATTTTAAGATGCCCGTTTCAGTCAGCATCAGCAATAATCACTAGAACTTGAACCATCTGATATTTACCTGTTATCTAACCAGGAGGTTTTGACCGTGGTGATGAAGAACTGTGATCCGTTGGTGTCAGGTCCGGCGTTGGCCATCGACATGATACCGGGTCCCGTGTGCTTCAGGGTGAAGTTCTCGTCTTCGAACTTGTTGCCGTAGATTGACTTGCCACCGGTGCCGTTGTGAGCGGTGAAGTCGCCACCTTGGCACATGAAGTTGGGGATGACGCGGTGGAAGGTGGAGCCCTTGTAGCCGAAACCCTTTTCGCCGGTACAGAGGGCGCGGAAGTTCTCCGCGGTTCTTGGAACGACGTCGGATCGGAGCTGGAAAGGGTCGGATAAGAAAAGATTAATACCATAAAGAACTTTAAAAGTAAAAATTTACGTATATTTGACCATTATATCGCCCAGTCCCAGTAATGTAAAAATTAGGGATATGCTAGTCTATCAAAACGTTAGTGCTGTAAAGAATAATATACTAAGGGCTGGCAAAGGTTAGTTTTGGGCCGAGATTTCCATATGTAAGAAGAGTACAATGTGTTTATAATGTACTGAACAAAGACAGAACAGTAGAAACGTTGCCGAACATATGAAATAAACCGAGAAACTATGCACATTGCTAAGAGACGTGGAAGGGGACTTAGCAGATTCATCGCGGTCGACCGGTTGACCCAATCAGTACTTAAAATTCTAGGGAAATGTGTATATCATGCGTTCAGCTTCACGATTTTATTTATTTAATTATGTCTCGTGATACTATATTTGTTTATTTATTAACGAATCGTTGTAATTTTCCCTATAGCTTGTAAATTTTTAAGTGCAAGTTAGAAACACTTGCACTTTTGGTAAAAATAAGTGGAATTGAGTTGATCGCCCTATTAGAATTCAAAATTGAACTCAAACTCAACTCAATTCAAAAATCGATATCTCGAAATCCATTAGAAATAATTGATTGTAGTTTTTTCAAAAAGAATTCTTAATATTTCTGCTATATTTTCTTCGCAGACAGTATGTGAAAACCTTTATAAATAAAACTTACACGTTTGCTGAAAATTGCAATGCATAAAAATTAATCGATAGGTTTTTCAAAATTTTTAAAGGGGAAGAAACAAGCCTATCAAATTTTTCTTATTTAAACATTTTGTAAAAGATCCGAGCTTCAAAATAAATAAAAAGTTTCAATATCTAAAGTAGTCCTTGAGTTATCGCGTGTTATGTGTTAAAAAGTTGGGTTTTTAAATTATGGCGATTACTGACGTTATCGCGTTATAAAAAAATTGACACACTAACGATATCCTTATAATTCCATTTCAGATGCTCAGAAATATATCTAATGATTTTATCTACTTATCTTTTTCAAAAAAGTATTTTAAAAATAAGCGGTTTGCGATCGCGATTTTGCTTTACTTGATAGGGAAAGGCGTACCGGAAAAATGTGGCAACACCGCAACAGCACACCGTCGCATTTCTCTCACTCCGACTTAATAAGATCCCTATGCAATTTACTACACATGTAAATAATGACCCAAAAGTAAGAGCTGGCAACTTTTGGCACGGTATATAAACGAAGGTCCGATATTCGGTTAATATCGACATTACCCGGTTAATCTTGAGAATAACACACAACAAAACAACCAAAAACAAAACCAAACCCAAACATTAACCTGTTAATGTCGACATTAAGCGGACATCGGACTTTAACCGTAACATATACATTTCATTAGATTTTTAAACATAAAACTCTTTTTTACACGACAATTTAATCGTCGCTAAATGAAATACATCTAATAAAAAATAAAAAGAAGCACCTAAAGCGACTATTTGAGAGATAAATAAATTAACGACTTTACAAAGAAAATTGGGAAATCGTTGTTTTTAGAATTATGAATTTTGTTATAGCTTGTTTGATAGGTTTATATTAAAATATCCTATGATCTCTTTAGTTATAGCTGTATTTCATTAATATTAACATTTTAATGGCTTTCTTGACCACGCACATAAAACAAAAATATATTAAAAAGGCTGAAATTATTACACTGTTTAAAAAAGAAATAATTATGAGATAAGTGTTAAAAGATAATATTATATTTATTGGAATGGAAATCTTGCAATACGGTACCAAAGATGATGTTTCGACTTTTCTTCAGACAAAATAAAATTACTTAACACGTATAATTTTTGTCTATTTTTCACCTCTTATTTGACCTCAAATCCAAGGAGGCAATACAGAAAGAGGTATATAGGAGGGCTAAACCTAAACCGTGGAAGGGTATGTATACCCTCGTAGGAGGTAGATGTCTACTCCTCGGAGGATGAACATCAAAAATGAATGCCAGAGGAGGGTGGGAAATACCCTGTCCCCCATACAACAGAAAGCTCCCCATGTATGATGAGTTATATCAAGAAAGGGGGACACAATAAATCTTTAAGGTCGCGGGTCGCGGTGATTAATCCCTATTCTACACATATATACTTCTCATTCTACTTGCATTAAAACTGATAGTTTTACTGACGTTTGTAGAAGAAATAAATTATATCTGGACGCTCTATAAAATATGTACGATATACAAATTATACACGAACAAATCCTTGCCAAAAATATTTTTGTATTTCCAGACATTTTAATGCGCTCATTCATAAGTTCAGCCTAATTTACTTTTCCACTTGCATAAATTCGTTAAAATACACCCACATTACAATTAGTAAAACTAGATACAAACTGAAAAGCTTTTATAAAATATAGAAATAATTCATTAGAATTAATTCATTTTTCAATTACATAATGTAAAGAACAAGTTAAATTAACGAAATAAAAAGTAAAAAACAATGAAAAACGAATTGAGCATTCCGTCTCTTTCTTTTATACCAATTATACCATATCGGCAAGCGACTGTCTTGGTATTCTGTACTTTACTTATTATACATGGGTATAGGAATAGGACTGAATTGATATGGCGATATTCTAAGTCAGAGGAAGAAAACTGCGAAGTGTTTATTCTATAACCACTTAATCCGACACCTTACTTCATGAGCTTAGAAAAAGACTTGCTCTCATATCTTTGTTCAATACATATTATAGTACTTAGCGTATTGAGTGGTACTCTTCGTACACGCGAATATCAACACCCAAAGCCAGATCTTGCTCCTTGTATCTCTGGAGGAATATTGGTGGCAAACTTCCACTTTTTTTTTATTGTATGTGGATGTGGATGGTATCGAGCGTGATTAATGTATGTTGATGTTTATTTCGGCATAACCTAACTTAATCCATTAAATTTATCACTGTCCATTCGCAAATAATTGCAGTAATATTCAGACTTCATTTTGTCAACAAAATCATATGACTAAATTGTTGTCTGTTCAACGACTTTTTAGCCTACAATCTGCGTTTTTTTTATCGTATAATTATAGGTAGCGACTATGTAACGACAATGCGAGTGACTTATTAAGGAAATGAAATATATTGACTTAAGAAGTTATTGCAATAAGCTGACGATATATGTGTTTACATTTAGTTCACGCTTTTCTATATTAAGAAACAAAGTGTAAACATGAGTCCATTAGTAAGTCTAAGTCCAGAATCCGCTTAAAATTACTTATAATGGCTGATAATCGGACACTCGCCGAGTCATCATCAATAAATGTCATATACAGGGCTGTACACAGTATGTACCCTTATGTCTTTACAAAGGATTTTTTTTTATTACTGACATTTTTCAATGCGACAATGATTAGAATGGTCATTAAAGGATTCAGTACTGAAAAAATTTCCAGTTCAGGGGCTTGGAACACCCTCAAAAAGAAAATTCTACTCCTCCAACTCCCAATGGATGACATACCAAGAATTTATAACTTCGAGAAACACCTCAATCCCCAATATTGTATTGAACAATAAAGAGGATTGGAAAAGAAAAACGTTTGCTCAGAATGTAAAAGACCGTACCATAACGTGGTACACTGATGCCTCCAAAACCAAAGCAGGGACAGGAATAGGAGTATTTAGGTCGAAAACTAAATACTCCGAACCAATGGGCACTACCCTAGATCATATACTTACATGAATACATCAACGCCATAAGTTTAGCATTAAAAATATATCTCCAACATCACGACGTACCATTTTCAAACCTTCTTTATTACACTTATGAAACGTTCACTAGCTTTTTCCGAGGACCTTAATTTGCGCATGCGCATTAAAAGTTGCACGTATTTCCCAAATAATCAAAATTTAATACGGTTTAGAAAATACAAATCATAGGTACAAATTATACATTGTTATGGAATGGAAACCAAGTTTTCATTGTCATCATATTGTCACAATCATATGTCATAATATTATTTACATATTGTAACGACGCGCGACGCTTGGTTTTTTGCGTTTTTTATTTTAAAAATTGTATTAATTACTCTTTTATCGACCACTTTTACCTATATAGCCAAGGATGCAAGTGTCTCAGTGAGAAATTAATTATAAGTTTGCGCAATAATTATATTTCCATTTTTTTTCGTTGGACTTACTAAATACTCGTAAAAATTACTAGAAAGTGTTTGGTGTGTGGAAGTTCTAATATAAAGGTCCTCGAATTATCTTTTCATGGGTATAGGTAAAGTATTCAGTTGTTTTATTTATATTAAACCACATGGCATACTTGTATTTTTTATATAATTTAATTGTTGTGACAGTAATTCCATTTATTGTTCAAATATATGCATTTTACAAATTAAATTTTTAAAATTAATGTTCAAATTTGGCGCGTGGACGATTGGTCCTCGACAAGGATAGATGGAGTAGAAGCACCACGTGTGCAACGGTGCTTGTCAGATATAACACCCTCCGAATTTGGCATTTATTTATATATCAGTCGAAAGCATACACTTAAATAAGAATTTTAAGCAAAAAAAAATTGCAGATGAACCACAATTTATTGAAAAATAAATAAATTGAAAGTGCATTTTTAGGTTATGAAGTTGTATAAGCGTGTAATTATTGTAAAATATGACGATTATATGCATTTTTTTATTAATATAAAGGTCAGAATTAATCATTGAGGAGCATTAATAAGTCATAAATCAAAAATAGAGTTGGTGATATCTTTTGTAATATTTGCCTGATCGATTTAACTCTTTCGATTCAAACTTGCCGCCGTAGCCGTCTGTCACCATTTGTTGTTAAGGATGTAAGCTGCGTGAGCATTGTTGCCAAGGTTATTTCTTGTTTGTATGATACATAATACCGTATGATCGAAAAAAAAACGGCGTCCAGTTGGCTTGGAAATGACGATCGATGACATTCCCCATATAATTTTACATATAAAATGACAGCGATGTTCATTTCATAGCCATGGCTTACGCCGTTTTTTTTCGATCATACGGTACGTTACATGATACAAAAAAAGTGTTGAAACCGAAAGAGTTTTGATTGCGTTGGTTTCAACCTTTTCGTGAGGGTGTTAATCTTTTGTTTTGTTTTTTATTTTAATACGAATCTGATTGCTTTCACTTGATTTTACGTGCCGGTCGCCGGACGAACAAATTCTTATACAATAGCGCTGTCACGATAAGAACAGATTATAAGTTATTTTAAAATCAAGACATTGAAAGCACTCAGATTCGTATAAAAATATAAAAAAAAACAACAGATTAACCCCCAAAGAGGTTGAAACCAACGCAATCAAAACTCTTTCGTGCAACTTTATAGTTATAAATAGTCAGATCTTGTAGGCAAAATATCAGCTATGGGTAGGAGCAGTTCCTCAGGCGATCGCCTTTTCTTGATTTTAAAATAATTTATAATCTGTTCTTAACGCGAGTTTTCTTCCGACCAGCACGTGTTTTTTTAATGAACCTTTCAAGAAGAAATGAATGAATCTGGCAACGCCGACAAAATTTGGAGGAGTTTTCGCATATAAAGTAGCCTGCTCTAGCAATAATTAGATGTTTATTTTTTCATTAAATTATGGATCATCCACACTTTTTTTGGCTTGAAATACTTATTTCGATGTATGCTTTCGAGTGATATAAAAAAAAGTACAAAATTCGGAGGGTGTTATATCTGGCAAGCACCGTTATTTATTATTATTATTATTTAACAAATGGATAGTAAAATGAAAGCTTAACAATGAATTTTTATATTATTCGAAATAAAGATGGGAGATGGTCTGTCCAACAGGAGGATCCAGCAATGCCAGTTGTGTCGTCATTATAATTCACAGGCATATTGTATTTTCTGTTTTTTTTTGGGATGTTGTCTATCGAAATCTCTCCTGATTTGTTGGGGAGATTATAGTATGTTTATGATTCAACAAAAATTACTTTTCAATAGCCCAATTCAAATAGAACAAGAAAAAAAATGATAACACGTAACATAATGATAAAAATATGAACTACGAACTATAATTATTATTATATGTATGTATATAGTTTATCTAACCAAGGTTCTTTGATAAAATTAAAAAATAAGATCAACCAAAACTTGTATTATAAAATTAGACTTTATTAAAAATATTCAACATTTTCTACACACTTTTATACAAACACGTAGAAAATTAATGTTCTACGTGTCGTGACCCAACCCTGATCATGATGGAACTAATTTTAAGTGTGTAACAAGTAACAAGTATACAGAAAAAAAGTATGTACTTGTATAAAAAAACATAAATAAAGCTTGATATTCAATTTTCATAGTTTTGAGAAAAAGAATGCATAAGTACCATATTTTCTGTTAATTGCATTTTTTATGTTATTAATATCTACAAATAGGTATTTTGTCTAAATATATTAATTTTGAATCGAGTTTTGAATATTAAAATAGACATATTTACATGCCATAATTTTACAAGATAATTATCGACAAGTTAAGTGATATTAAATATTAATTACATAATCTTATTATCTGAAATAAGATTTTTTAGAGGAAAATGAAAAAAAAATCGGCAGCCAATAAATTAATGAGATAAAAAATATTGCAAAGCTGAATATGTTGAGTCATACTGTAGGTATATGATGAGTAATCTCAATTGTATTAAAAAAAACACATCACTTGGAACAAAGTTCAAGATCTTGAGATACCAAAATACTTCAAAAACCTGATAGGAAGTGAAGAGAGACAAATTGAAGCAATCCTTTGTGTGATGAAATGAAAGAAGTAGCTAGCTTAGCAAAGCCAATCGTTTTTAGCCTAATAAGTAATAGCCATTGGCTAAAGACCTGTAGACAAATTGGTCACTGGCTTATTTATATGAATGCCTTGCCTCCTGTATAAATACCTGCTGTTGTAGAGATAGGTAGGTATAAAAATACCATAAAGGCAATATCATGTATATCATAGGTTGGCTGGAAAATTTAATTGTCTTATTCATTCTAAATGAATGACAAGCACGGCAATCGCTATTCTACTAATTTCCCGGACTTTTATAAAAGTGGGTCACTTAGGTCATGTCATGATTTGTGTAGAATGAAAACAATGAAACAAACAAAATAAAATTCGTGTACAATAAAATTCACATTCAACAATAGTACAAGAATGTAGGTATTTCTTCTCTTAATGAATATAAGTTAAAAACAGAACATTCTAATGGCAAAAATGGTATAATTTACCTATATTACCTACAACCATTAATATAAATTGCCGGAAATATCGCACATACAATTTATTAATGTTATAAGAGATAAATCTTGTTAGTCATAAGAAATTTCCATTAAGTTATGCTTCTTTATTAGGTTATTATTCACTTATAAATGCACGACGATTTATTTACCTTATAAATAATTCCTGTTCATCATAAGATTATTTAGTTAAGTATGAATAAATTTGACAAACTACTAAATAGCGTTATCTACTAAAGAGAATCGTAAATCTCTATATATAGTCAAAAAAACTCAGTTCGTTGCACATGATTACTGTGATCTATGCAGTGGAAAATTACTGTTCTCTGTAGAAACTAGAAAAGTAATTTGCCGGCAACCGTGTTAAAAAAGAAAGAAAACGATTGAATCCTGACATTGGAAATATGCGAGTTCGATGAGTAACAAAATATTAACAATCCCATATTAACATATAAGGACATCTCGCAACAGAACCTTGAAAGAAAGCCGGTTGCTCGTTGTTTATGGGTGGAACAAGATACGATAACGAAAAAAGTAATTATCTCGTCCATAAACAAAGATTAAAGTCTACTAAACTAAACTACTACCTAAATCCCAACTCTAACAAACGACAACTGTAACATATGTGAATAAATTAATAAGTAAACCGGCATATAAAAAATCAAGCATGGTGGTTGTCAGAAAATGTGACTACTTTCTAGGGGGCTTCGCTTACAATTGAAGAAACAAAAATAGTGTGTTTAGCTTACCTCAATTACGATACGCCCCAAAGGCTGATTATCAGCAGCCATATCGAAGAAAACTCGTGGATGAGCCATTTTACTGCACAAATTTCTTAAAATCGACGTATCCAAACCAGACCGCAAAGTTGTACACCGACCGGCGAATGCGCTTTGAAGCGAAATGGAAGCGGCTTGACGAGAGAGAACGAAGAGGGCCATATTTACAGGAAGTACAACGTGAATCAAAAGTGTTCTAGAAAATTTCAAATAAAATTTAGAGAAAAAATAGTTATTTAACAAAGTTGAAATTTATTATTAATGAATTATTGAACATTAAGTCTTTTTTTAATGATTATGAAATTTACTTCAGTTAAAAATATACTAAAAATAAATACCACATGCTCGTTTTAATGAAGTAAAAGAGCGCACGTTCAAATCTTAGTTCCTCAGATTAAAAATAAAAATGACTTAATCTTTAACATATCCATTAAAAATGAACAAATAGAAATATATCTCAAGTATTCCTTGTTTTTAGGATATATGTTCAGTCCTTTATACAATATGAATAAATAATTAAAATTTAAAAACAATTAAAAGATTTCAAAAACGCATATCATAGAAAAATTTCGGAACGTCTTATTTTCTAAATGACATTTGACGGGACGATTTAATTTGACATTCGTTCAAAACAAAATGGTTGCATGTTGCATTTTCTAAAGTGACATATGATCAATCAACAAGAAATATAAACTTTTATTTTTATTGTACTTTTTAAAATGAGTAACTTGGGAAACTATAACAAAAATGCTATTTGGGGAAATAAGCCTGTTATGAATCAAGGTAATACTTTACCGCCACAGATGGGGACGTTAAACAATTTAAATCACTCCGGAATGGTTCCCTTTCAACAACAGCATCAGCAAGTTTTTCAAAATATGGGACTTAATCAACCAAACATAGGACTTGGACTACAACAAATGGCCAACAATCAATTAAACGCGTCTTTAGCTTCAAACCCTATATTTCAACAGCAACTTGGTGCTGTTACTTATCCAAATCCGAGAGCTTTAAATCCAACTGCATTTCAAACACAACCTCCCAATAGTAATCTACAAAACAATTCTACCCCAGGTTTGAAATACGGTAAAGTTTGATTTTTTTATAATAAATGTTTTTTAGGAGTTAAACAAAGAGTATTCAAGGGCATCATAACTCAAGTTCATGATAATTTTGGATTTGTAGACGATGAGGTTTTTTTTCAGTGGAATGTTTGTGATAAAGGTTCCAACCCTGTTGTAGGCGATAGAGTTCTAGTGGAAGCTTCTTTTAATACATCAATGCCTTTCAAATGGAATGCCACTCGTATTCAGGTTTTACAAGGCAATCAGCATGCCTCTAGAGATCCCAGAAACAGTAGTGGTGTGGGAAATTCTAAAGTATATTCTTCAAATTCAAGTTCCTACAATGCAGTCCCACCTCCTCTTGATAATGGTAATGGGTTTAATAGACGTGGTGATAATAGAGATTTTGGTAGAGACAGATCAAAACCTTCAATTGGGGAGAGAAGAAATAGGTCTAGGGATAGAGAGGACGATGATCTAGATAGGAAAAGAAGAAGAGATGAGAGAATGAAAGAAAGGGAGAGGGAGGAAAAAGATAGGAAGTCTCCAATAAGAAGGAGGTCGAGATCGCCTAAAGTTAGAAGAAGGCCTAGAGCGGTGCCAAGATATATGGTACAAATACCCAAAATCGCTTTAGATTTGTAAGTTAATTTACTATATTATATTTAGTGTTTTAATAGAGAAACTGTTTCCATTTGTGAACGAGGAATGTTTGTGAATGTTTAGGATCATTGTGCAAGAATGTTCCCTTATAAGAACATGTATGAGCATAGCCATTTTTTATAGTGATTCTTTATTTTTGAGTCTAAATAGCATAAGCTGTCTTTGTCTCAGGGCAAAGTTCTCCAGAAATAAATGCTCAAACACCATTGTTCTAAAATAGTTCCATGTCAGGTATTCTATTTTAAATTTTCACTCTCACATCAGCCACACACAGCTGACAATTACAGTAATGTGATTCAAATATATTTTTACACTAAAGTTGTACCTTTTTAAATGGAATGCTGTATATTTTTTTCATTGAGTGAATAAGCCATAATATTAATATTCGAAAAATACCATCATGTCAGTCTATGGGTCTGTACCAAATGGTTTTTGAGATATGGCCATTTTAAAATTACTTTCCCACACCTTTAAAAACTCGCACAATTCAAAAATCACAAATTATTGTAACTTTTTTACTGTTTGTATGTTATAGTAGTTTCTTCGCCAAAAATATTAATACTGTACTAGATACTAACCAGTGGCGGACTAAGCCTGTCGGGAGCCCGGGACGACAAAGCTAAATGTGGCCCCCGGTCTATAATAATGATGTACTTCTAATTCACATTTTATAAAAATTGAATGAAGTATGTATAATGGTTGACAAAACTCAAGTATTTATACAGGGTGTCCCAGGCTGAGCCTGCGTTAGAAGTTTCTAGAGAACTACAATATCTAGATACAAGATTTTGTGCATATCATTGTTTCACAATGAGATCTATTGATTAAAAATATTTTCAATATGGCGGCACTTTCGGAAGTACCGTAAGTTGACAGCAACTTACTTATTTTAAATGGGTGACATCATTTTTTATTACATACTTAAATTCTCTGTAAAATTTTGTGAATTTTGATATTAAACACTCTATAGCTAACGTTAACCGTTTTTTGAGAAAAAAAAATATAATAATTGTTGGGAGGAAAAAACTGCCTGTCAAAAATATGTATATAGCCTAAACGTCAAATTTAGTAATTGCCACAGCCACTGTACCATAAAGAGAAGACATGTGGCTATCTATGTCAAAAATTAAATTGTCCGAATGTCATGTAATAATGGTCACAGCTGTCATGGAACTGAGCGATTAAAAAATTATGATAAATCATTTTTTTTTAAATGGAAATTCACTTTTTTTATTTCACTCGTGAAAGGGCTTTCGATACTTTCGTTTTTAAAATTTGTTACTTTTTGACTTCCTGTACCTCAAATAATTCGTTTTTAAGTTATTTAAGATTTAGCTTTAAAGTATGTCCCTGGATTGTCTTCATAAGAGGAAAAACTTTTTTATAATTGATATTTTGAGAAAAATGCATTCTTCATAAAAAAATTTGCTTGTTTTAAAATGGTTAATCCCGTTTATACTTTTCCAAATTTCCTAGGCGTTTTTGAAAAAATTAAAAAAAAACATGAAAATATGGTTGAATTTTTTCCAAATCCCAAAAATCTAAACGCGTTTCTATGGTAATATATCTGCTTTTCCTACAATGGTGTGGATTTACACTAAAATTGATACACCTGTCTTAGACAAAAATAAAAACAATAGTTTAAATTAATTTTGCAATGATTTTTTTACTTGAAGTGTCACAAGGACAGTTTTACATACAAGAAGAGAAAATTATTGTCATCTAGTATCTAGTTTTTGACTTACCCTGTATATACTAACATAATTTATGAATATAATTCATTTTAGTATAAGTAGTTTGGCAAAGATTTAAAAATAATTTAACTTACTAGTTTATAATTTAGGAAAGCTTTAAACGTAGTTTAAAAATGGTCATATTTCAAAAGCCTCCAATAGAACAGCTCACGTGGAGATTATTTGGAACACTGGCCCACCCTGTATATGATTATAATATAACTTAATATTTAGGGCTCAAGCAGACGTACTCGAAATAAAAAGAAGATATAACAATTTGTATATACCCTCTGATTTTTTTCACACCTACGTACGCTGGGTAGACGCCTTTCCACCAGACAAACCTTATGCACTAAATAAGCCTTGCTTGTTTAATATTATGAATAAGGAACTGGAATCTGTAACTGAAAATGATGCAGTCCTGGAACCGGCAGATGCTGATTATAGATTCTGCGCTAAGGTAATAAAATATGTGTTGTTTTTGTGCAGAGTAATTGCAAAAATCCATCTATAGGTTCTATAATCAATTTTGTTTAAGTACAGACCTAATATTTTAGGATACCATATTCACTTGTCTAGGGTGTCTCAATTAGGGATGGGGATTTTTTTTTGGATATATCGATAACTATCCATAGATCAAATAATAATAGGTGACTTTAAAATTATCAATATATGAACATAGGAATATAAATAATCATATACATATCAAATATATACGGATTATCGCCTATCCCTGCAATGTGTTGGAGTTGAAGCCGAGTTAGAGACAACTAGATAATCGGTCCATGTATATTTCACATAAGTTCGTCTGTTAGGCAGATACTGGCGCAACAGTGCAACTCCAAAATTCCGAATATCGATTAGCCAGGATTAGCCAGTTGTCGAATGGGAACGCAAACGAAAGCCGTACGAAATTGGACGGAGCCATACGAATGAACAGCTGGTTTTTTTTTTTTTTTTTTTTTTGTTGGTGAGGGGGTGGTTGAAAAATCTTTTATAGACGAATAGTGATCATTTCCATGGCCTTCTCGAGAGAGATGGTCATAGAAATAACCCCTAGACAGTGTGGGACTCGTGTTGATACCCACTAAAAAAAGTCCACCTCCGAGGAATCAGCCGCCGAAGAATGGTCAGCTATTATTCCTGCTAATATGTGGGGAAGAAAAAAAAAGGGGGGGTGTGTGGGGTAATGGGAGGACTATATTATGAGAAGGGGGGGGACAAAATTAATTGTCTAGATGAATGGTTTTAAGATGGGAGTATTTGAAGTTTCTATAGTCCTCGGAACAGCTGGTGCTAGCGTCTAGTCTCTTATTGGTCTGGATATCCGATCGATAATTTAAAATCCTGGCTTGCGCACTACGCTTGAGCACAGCTAACTGAGCGACTTATGCAAATTCCTTCAGAAGATTTATATACCCATTTCACCGGCTTGGCTTCACAGAATGCAGTTAGGAGTCGATATTCTTTAGTTAATATATACAGGGTGTCCCAGGCTGAGCGTGCATTAAAAGTTTCTAGAGAACCACAATATCTAGATCGGAGATTTTTTGCAAATTATTGTTTTACAAAGAGATCTACTGATTAAAAATATTTTCAATATGGCGGCACTTCCGGAAATACCGGAAGTTGACAGCAACTTACTTATTTTAAATGGGTGCCCCCAGTTTTTATTACATACTTAGGTTTTCTGTAAAATTTTATCAATATTGATGTTAAACACTCTATATCTAACATTAACCGTTTTTGAGAAAAAAATATTTAAAATTTTTGGGCGAAAAAAACTACCTGTCAAAAAAATTTGTATAGCCTAAAAGTCAAATTTAGTGATTACCACAGCCACTGTGACATAAAGAGAAGACATGTGGCTATCTATTTCAAAAATTAAATTGTTCAAATGTCATATAATAATGGCGGTAGCTGTCATGGAATTGAGCGTTTAAAAAATTATCATAAATAATTTTTTTCAAATGGAAACCCCTTTTTTTATTTCACTAATAAAAAGGTTTTTTAATTCATTACTTTTTAACTATACATGTTCCTATACCTAAAATAAATTGTTTTTAAGTTATTTAAGATTTAATTTGAAAACGTATATTTTTCTTGATTTTATCTAGCCTTCCTTTGACATTAAGTGTCAAACGGTCAGACAGTTTACTTCCATCTGTCAAAAAACGAATTATTTGAATTTCCTATATTATAAATACTGTCTCAGTTTAAAAAGTGTATTTATAAAAATATATCTCCGTATTTTCGCTCTTTAGTGATATCTAATAGTTGATATTATTAATAATATTCCATATGGTCGAAAAAAAAAACAGCGCAAAGTTGGCTCGGAAATGATGCTGTCTTTTTGAACAAAGCGTCACAATATGACATGGCCAGATCTATTGTTTTACATCGCTTGACGTTTAAAGTCATAGGGTACTGGTTAAAATCAAGAAAAATATACGCTGTGCAACAAAATCTTAAATAACTTTTAAAAGATTTATTTTTAGGTATAGGAATATGTATAGTCAAAAAGTAACGAATTGAAAAGCATTTTCACTAGTGAAATAAAAAAAGTCGGTTCCGTTTGAAAAAAATGATTTATGATAATTTTTTAATCGCTCAATTCTATGACAGCTGCGGCCATTATTATATGAAATTCGAACAATTTAATTTTTGAAATAGATAGCTACATCTTTATAGCATCATCTTTATGACATAGTGGCTGTGGTAATCACCAAATTTGACGTTTAGGCTATACACATATTTTTGACAGGTAGTTTTTTTCGTCCAAAAATTTTAAATGTTTTTTTTTCTCAAAAAACGGTGATTGTTAGATATAGAGTGTTCAATATCAAAATTCATAAAATTTTACAGATAATTTAAGTATGTAATAAAAAATGGGGGCACCCATTTAAAATAAGTCAACTTCCGGTATTTCCGGAAGTGACGCCATATTGAAAATATTTTTAATCGATAGATCTCATTGTGAAACTATGATGTGCAAAAAATCTCCGAGCTAGATGTTGTAGTTCTCTAGAAACTTCTAATGCACGATCAGCCTGGGACACCCTGTATATGTAAATATTATATGAATAATATAATATTTGAACATATCGATATATCGGTCACCTATCCATATATATGGTGTGTGCATTTCAAAATTGGCTCACCCCTATAACATTTTCATTTTTTAGCCGACCATACCAATAGGTATCGGCAAAAAAAAAGGATTAGGATCGGCAAAAAAAAAGTTTTTTTAATTTCACTCAAAATGAGGGGTCACAAATGGGTCATAAATGACTTAAATACAAAATGTTTTCGTGGTGTCTGTCTGTCTGTCTGTCCGTCTGTCCGACTGTAACACTATAACTCAAAAACCGCTGAACCGATTTTAACCAAATTTGGCACAAAAATACTGTGGCACCCGAGAATCTGGCCATTAGTTTTTGGTGGGGTGGGGGTTGGTAAGGGGGTATAGGAGGGGGTTAAATACTTAAAAAAATCGTAACTCCAAAATTACAGTAGCTAGCGAAACGCGGATTTCAAATTAAGATTAGGAATAATATTTGCAACAAAATTTGTAATAACATCAAAATCAGTCAAAGTCGCAGTTTTCGAGATATTAACATATTTTAGTATGGGCGGCTATACGTGCCTCCCGGTGCCAATTTTTTTAATAAAAAACGAGATTTGGTATGTTAGTATTTTTGTAGTTTAGTTATTATGTTTGTATTTGGTATACGTCTCTTAACCTGTGGTCCGTGGAGTATGTGTATGGGGGTCCGCCGTCTTATCTATGAACATTTGAATTAATAACTAAATGTCTCAGCAAGTCTCGTAATCATTAAGCTTAGCACGCTGAACGCTCGTAGATATATTTTCTCGATTGCCTTTATTGTAATCTAGTCCAAAGACAATTACAAGAGGCACTGACAAAAACATAAGCATAATATATTAGATATAACGTACTGCAATAATAGCCTTTAGTCAAATGCTAGACCATATCAAAAAATCATTACTCAATGCCAAAAACACTGGTAGCGTTTTTGGAATCCTCAGGTGAGGAAATGTTGCCAACGCAAGTAGAAGACGAAATGATCAAACACCTCCGCGGTTTGAGTTCATCTTTTCGGGAATATTTCTCAGAACCAGACAGAAGTAAAAACTGGATAACAGACTGAAAAAATGAATTAATAGAAATATCATGTCATTCAGCTTTAAAAAATAATTTCAAAGAAACTTCTTTAATTTTTGGGTGAATTTAAAAAACGTTTATAAAGAAATATCAGAAGTAGCACTGAAACATTTACTGCTTTTCTCATCCATAATACCTCTGTGAAAAGGCATTCTCTACTCTTAAATACTTCACAAACAAATACAGCAACAGATTACAATTGGGATCCGATTTGAGATTATAACTAAGTAAAAACATCAACACGCATATTACTAATTTAGTTGCAAGAAAGCAGCACCAACCTTCACATTAATACAGTATTTTTAATTTTTATTAAAATGTATTTTTTGTACTAAAATAATTTATTCTAAAATTTCTGTGTTTTTTTAATTAGGGGGTCCTTGAAATTGTGCTTAATTTTTAGGGGTCCACGAACTGAAAAAGGTTAAGAAACGCTGGTATACCGGGTGCGTCTCAAAAGTGGCTTACCCTTATAACTTTTTTTATTTTTTCAGATATAACAATATTTGGTATGTTAGTATATGCACAGATTATACAGATTATAATCTTTGTTTTTTCTTTATTGTTTTTCGTGGTTCCAATTTTCGGAATCGGGCACTAGTTAGGTGACTAGTTTGCGCACATAGCACGCTCACTTATGGCCTCTAAAATTGTGCACAGCGCCTGACCGGCACAGTTATTAGAGAGATATCGGAAAACCGAATAGCGTCATCCAGTATTTACGCGTACCTTATCATGGTTACGATATGCGCGAGTCAATTTTTAACGCAACACCCGCTAATAACGTTACCGCCTGACGTAATTTGCGGATCAATTACACCAAGAGCTCTTTCTAAATAACCTCTGATAACGTTTAAAAATTGCTTAAATGGGCATGTGCGGGTATTTGACAACAGGAGTCGGCAGGCGAGATCTTTTATTTTAGGTTATGTTTGAATTGTTTTGAATTATTGCTTTAGTTTTATTAGGTAATTTGATATTTAAGTAGCTGGGGGATTAGTTTTAATTAAATAAATATGGCCCAAAATATGGATTCCACCTCTTCCAATACTAAAGAACCTATAAAGAGTCTTAGGTTTGCAGCAGATGACGACTTAGCCCTTCTAAGAGAATTTGTTGCTTGTTGCCCTAAACCCACTGACAGACGTTGAACAATAAAGCACTGGAAATAAGTACTTTAGCCCTTTAGTTTTAAAATACCTAGTAAACAAAACAATTTCAAAGTTTTAAATTCAAAGTTAGGTTAAGTTTAAATAGCGGACGCAACGCGATCAGAATTCTTTCCGATCCGATAACTATAAAGCTGTAGGCACACTGGCGCGATCACGGCCGCGATCACGATCACGATCAGGGATTTAAGTATACAAACACTTTATTGCTGCCCTGATCGTGAAGGTGATCGCGGCCGTGATCCCACCAGTGTGCGTGTAGCTTAAATGAAGAGAGTTAATATCACCTCACGTAAAGGAAATAACACCTGGCCTTATTAACGTCCATGCACGCTATTCGGTTTAGCGATATCTCTCTATTACGCTGTTTATTGTTATTTTACGCGAGTTTATTTTTGCGCACAGGAAATTTGACTCGTTTGCACATCGTCATAAAAAACAATTTTCGTACCACGAATTAGGGACAAGATTTTTATCTGTATACTTATAGGATACCTAATCTGTGGTATATGACATAAATTATTAAATATTCAATTGTTATCGGTCACTTCCGGTTTCACCGGAAATGACTACAACTTTTGATTTTTAAATGGCACCCTCGGTATTTTTTTTCTTTATTCGATAGAAAATGACGCTCTGAATCGAATGACATATCATATGTCAACTTTTGACATTTTGGCATATAGTTTATTTGAAATTGCAACATGCGGTTCATAACGACAATTTGACTCAAAATACCAAGTGTGTGGTATCAAATTATTCGTAAAAAAATGCTTTTTCCAAATATGCTAATGAGCCACCCTCGTTCCATTTGTAAAAATTGAGATATGATTAAAAATACGATTTGGGCATCTTTTAACCGGTCAGGACAACACACTAAAAACATTAGACGATCAAATCTATTTTTCCAAGGCTTCTTGATTAAAAATTAGTGTTTTTAACACAGTCATGGCACTCTAGATTGAAATTTAAAATAGAATTTGTTTTTGAGTGACTATGTCAAAAATTGACAATGTCATTCGATTCAGAATGTCATTTTCTATCAAATAAAGTAAAAAAATACTGAGGGTGCTATTTAAAACTCAAAAGTTGTAAAGTGACCGAAAACAATTGAATATGTCAATCAATCCCAATTTATGTCATATACTAACATACCAAATCTCGTTGTTTTATCTAAAAAAATAAAGAAGTTATAGGGGTGAGCCACTTTTGAGACGCACCCGGTATAATAATAAATAATTGTTTTTGGTCACTTCCTGTTTCACCGGAAATGACTACAACTTTTGGTTTTTAAATGATACCCTTGGTATATTTTTACTTTATTCAATTGAAAATGACACTCTGTATAGAATGACATATCATATGTCAACATTTGATATTTTCGCATACAAAAAACTCGTATTGTAAATCTAGAGTGCCATGGCTGTGTTAAAAACATTAATTTTTAATCAAGGTGCCTTGGAAAAATAGATTTGATTATCCAATGTTTTTCGTGTCTTGTCCTGACTGATTAAAAGATGCCCAAATTGTTTTTTTAATCATATCTCAATTTTTTTAAGTGAAACAATGGGGGCTCATTAGCATATTTGGAAAAAGCATTTTTTTTACAAATAATTTGGCACCACATGCTTGTTATTTCGAGTCAAATGTCGTTATGAACCACATGTTACAATTTCAAATAAACCGTATGCGAAAATATCAAAAGTTGACATATGATGTCATTTTATTCAGTCATTTTTTATCGAATAAAGTAAAAAATACCGAGGGTGTCCAAACCAAATTTAAAATACAATTTTTTTGACAGAAATGTCAAAAGTTGATATATGATAATATGTTATTCTATTCAGAGTGTCATTTTCTATCGAATAAAGTAAAAAAAATACGGACGGTGTCCAAACCAAATTTAAAATACGATTTTTTTGTAAACAAAAATGTCCAAAGTTGGCATAGTATGATATGTTATTCTATTCAGAGTGTCGTTTTCCATCGAATAAAGTAAAAAAATACCAATAGTGCCCAAACCAACGTTAGAACCCACATTGCACAGACTATATTGTTTGGACAGACGCGGACTCTCCCCTACTCTTTGAAACACCCTGTACAAGTGAAGATATTATCCTGAAATAAAAATGTCCCAAAATTAAGTTCTTTATTGTAGGTCATACATAGATGTCAGACACAATGGAAGGGTCCAGGGGAATAACTTGATAAGCGGCAATTTCTAAATTTTTGTATTTGACAATATTATACGAGTAGTAGGTCTAACTGATCCCTAGAAAATATATAAACTCTGCAGAGCAATTAGTTCTTAAACCCTAGGATATATATACATATATATTTATGCCTAGTACCTATAAATAAAGAATACACGGAAAGAACCTGATAACCACCAGCCGTCTGGTGCTTTCCTGTAAAATTAGTATAATGGCACTTATTATGTTTTTCCCCTGGACTCTTCAATTATACAAGGCTTTGTGTATAAAAAAATCTTTATTTAAGGTAATGTTAATGAGTATAACTGGTATAGAGGAAATTTATCAGAGGTGTTTTGCTATGGCCGAAGATAAAGATCGCAGAGATAGAGACAGTGAAGACAGAGATTTCGTTCATCCCACTCGATTGATAAACTTTTTAGTGGGCCTACGAGGAAAGAACGAAACTATGGCCATAGGGGGCCCTTGGAGTCCGTCTCTGGATGGCGAAAATCCGGATAAAGATCCTTCAGTATTAATAAAAACCGCAATTAGAACCTGCAAGGCTTTGACTGGAATCGATCTGTCAAATTGTACCCAATGGTAAGTTATGAAATGGTAATTTTTATGGATATGACCTGGATAAATATGTGGTGTCTTTATATGTGCCATAGATATGAATTAAGCTGCCTGTATTTTTCTTCAATTTTTGTGAAATTTGATATGTTTTAACGAGCATTATTATGCACTTCGATACTTGTAGGTATCTTAAAAATTACTATTGATGATAAAACTTTATGGCGAATGTCATTGATCGTTATTTCTAAGGTAACTTGATACCATTTCTTCGTACTAAGTGTATTTGTTAATTATTTATAAAAAACAGTTTAGTCAAACCATCACTAATGTATATCTCAAACAGCCTGATAGCACAAGAGCCTAATTATAAATGCAAAAAGCGTTTTCTTGTGTACAGTGTAACATGCCAAAAGATGGGACCAATTTCAATATTCCAGTAAAATTCAGACAGCTTTGACACGTTTGTAGATGGACACATCCGGTACGTTAACAATAGGGCAATAAAAACCGTCGTTTAACAATAGGGCAATAAAGATATTCATGGTTAGAAGAACCAGCTGTACCAAACCTGAGAAGGTCCTGACTGCACTAGTGTGGGGTATTAGCGTTTTAAGATTTATTTTAAGTTTTGTTAAAATATATTTTGTTACACAACGTAAAATAATATGATAATTTTAGCATTTATTTTTTTATTTAGTTTCAAATAGTTAATGATATTAGAAAAGGCAGAAAACACATACCATGGAAAATCTTATTTTTAACACAGGTTGTCAATGAGGAAAATGCATGTTTTTAAATAATGGTTTTAAAAAATAGTTCATATAATTACAAATTGAACAAAAAAAATCGTTGATATTGGTTAAGAAATGCCTCTAATATAAAATAATTAAATATTGTTAATTTAAATGGCCGGGCAAACGCTCTCTACCGCGCCTTGCCGCTGTGACGTCACCCGCCGTTCTTCTGGTTGAGTGGAGCCAGACGCGTGTTTATTTTACACAGTTTGCTTTTAAAGGCTGTTGAATCCGAGTCAAAATTTTAGTTATTTGTGTTAATTAATACATAATTAGTAGTGATATTTATAAATAGTAATGGATGAGCGAAAACAGAAAAAAATGGTCCAAGGCCAAAAGACAAACGTTAAATTATCCTCTATTTTTACGATTTATTGTTGTGAAGATCATTTTGATGTAAGTTCATATATTTATGTATATTGTCTTACATAGGTATATGAAATTTGAATGTATGTACTGGGTTATTCATTATATTTTGACACCCACATACAGCCTTAACTGCAAGTTTTAGAAGAAAACATTAAATAAAAAAGTTGCATGGTTTTTTATATACTCTCTTTTAAAATTAATTCTAGTTATACAGGGTGTCTCAAAAAAGGTGGTGCAGAAAATTGTAGGTATTTTTCGCTTTTCAACTGTCAATATTTCGTAAACATTTGAAGATAGGTATAGGATATTATACATGAGATATATCTAGAATATCTAGAAATTTCCGAAGAATCCAAAACTATATAGGGTGTTTCACTTAAAAAAGTAACTTAATTTTGGCGTTTGCTTATGGGACACCTTGTATAATATTTTCATTACCGATAAACAATTTATTTCCTATAATTTCGTAAAAAAAACAATCTTTAAAAATAACAAGGGTAAGGGGGTGTCAATATATAAAAAAAAACTTTCTTTTCCACGCTATGCTGTGAGTTATTTTTCCACGTACTAAACAAATATTTTTGTCTCTTTTCACTTCTACATAACCTACAGCATTATCTCCATACGTCTCCCTATCTGATCTGAAAAATAAGTTTATAACATTAATTTATAACTATATAAAAGTTCGTAACAGTAGGTACCTACTTATACTAAAATATGCCTCAGTACTACAAAGAATAAATGTTTCATACCTCTCTATTTTTTTCCTAGTAATTCAGCACCAATAAATTGGGAATATGTATTTATAAAAGCAGCCAACATAAAAGCATCGACTTTTGGCAAATTATCTGATTGTGCTTTTACAAACCCGGAATCTGCCATTACTTAAAAAATTCTCAAAACACACGACACATACAAATAATAACTGCACAAAAACGCATCCTTCAATCAACGCTAAAAGCAACAAAAATGTCTTAGTACGCCACCTAAATACGTACATAAACGGAACACGTCTGGCTGCTGCTGGCCATCGCGCGTCGACGAGAACGGCGGGTGACGTCAGACCAATAGAATATCGTTTCAATTCGCGAGGCGTCGTTTGCGTTATCCATAGTATTTTAATAGCCCGTTTTATAAAATTGTGGTACTGCTTTCAAGAAAAAAGTTTTTTTTTTGCATTTACACATATTCTAATAAATTGAACAGTTTCTGGCGAAAAATAAAATATATGCATCTTCCTCATTGCGGTTTACTTACTGGGAATAGTGTAGATGGGAACAATACTGTTAATTCAATATGATGGTTAGAGAACTGTTACTATTATTAATAAATAACAATTAATATGCGACTATACAGGGTGTCTCAAATTTGAGCCTTGCACTGGGAACTCGGAAATTAGAGAGATACGAAGTCAATTAAATGAAGGCATAATTGTGCAATTTGGTACTGATCAGAATACCACCTAAACAGTTTAAAAATTCCCAAACCTTCTGAAGATTTTTGAATAAAAAGCCAATACATTTTCAACGCAATTTCATTTCTGTTTTTATAATTCTTAAGGTAGCATTTGATGACCATCAAATTGCGCAACTTTGCCACCATTTAACTAACCTCGTATCTCTTCTAGTTTGCGAGATCCCAATGATGAGGCTTTTAATTTGGGATAGGTTTGGTTAGGTTGGTCGAAATTGGTCTGTTTTAACAGAGAAAACATATTTCCAGACTAGATAGAGCAAAACCGACATAGATGTTTTCATGAGCTTGATTTCTGAGACACGCATAAACTGATGGTTGCTCCGAAAATATAACATAAAATCAGTTCGATGAGATTGATGCCATGCCACTTTTAACCAGGCATAGGAGTAAGCAAATCATTTTTTTTTCTTCGGAAAGCATAAACCATCGGTAGCTTTGTCGACAAGCTAGCGTCAAATCGCAGGGCCTCAATCTCATCGAACTGATGAATTTTATATCGTGGGGAGATTTCCTCACCTAAAAATAAGATTTATTTTTCATATGGACATGGGTCCGATTCTGTTTTGTTTTGTAGCTATAAAGGATTAGTCTTCATCTTTTTTGATTTATTATAATTTTCGTCCAAGTGCTTTTAGCGATTCGAATTAAATTTTGAAGGTAAAAGTTACTATAAGAATGATATACAGATTGTTAACTGGACGGTTACTTATTGGGGAACAGAATGGCAACACTGCCTACATTCCAAATGAGTATTAAGCTAACCTGCCGATTCGTCCCGTCGCCGTTGCGTCGTCTCGACGAGCGGGCCGAGGTTGCCATATTTCAACCATAAAGCTCTCGACGCAAGTAATAAACAAATTAACAACCTGTATTTTAATGCAGAGAAAGTGTCGACATATTCACCAGGGCCGTGCATATGGGTTACCACTGGAATTTTTTTTGTAAGAAAAATATGTGCGCCACTGACTTTTTTCTCTTGTGAGTATTGTATAGACTTTTAAATGTTGATTAAAAGCTGTCTCTTGATATTTTGTCGATTTCGGTCTCCTTGATGAGATAAGAGCAATTTAATTAATTTGCCTTAATCCAATTCTATAATGGCAACCTTTAAAAAATGTTAATGTCATCAACTTGCTAAATTATGTAAAATAGTACATAGTACTCATTGATTCCTCGTAAAAAAATTGAATAAAAGTTCCTATAAACATGGGTGCGGAAATGCATAGTTTTAAAGTTACGGGATGTTAAAACTTTTAAAAAATAGTCCTTTTGTAATTATCTTAAAGACCATTATTTGCTGTAGGTAGCACTGTGTTATACATTTTAATAAAATGTAGTAATATAAATTACATTAAATAAATAATTTATTAATTTTATTTTTATTTTATTATTTGTGATTAATAAAATTGCGTTTATCTCATCGACAAGATCAAACTGGACAAAATATGAAGATACAACTTTCAAACGGCATTAAATGGCCTACACAATTTTGCTAGTAAAAGAAAAAAGTCAGTGGCGCACATGTTTTTTTTTAGAAAAATATTCCAGTGTTAACCCATATGCACGTCCCTGGTAAATTTTTCGACCCTTTTTTAGCAATAAAATATGTAGGGCTCATAGTAACTTTCACCCTCCAAATTTCATTCGAATCGCTAAAAGCACTTGGAGGAAACTTTTATAAATCGAAAAAAAATGAAGACTTAATTCCCCTGTAACTACAACACAAAACAGAATCGGACCCATGTTGATATGAAAAATAAATCTTATTTTACATGAGGAATCTCCCACGAGATATGGCTCATGTTTTTTGAAACACTGTATTTTCGGAGCAACTTAGCTATTGCTAGTCGAGTAAAATAACACAGCGCGGCGATCTCGATATAACGTGGCCATGGAAAAAGGTGTGCGAAAAATATTAAAACTATTAATTTTGTTTTGTTAATCCGAGTTGAGTTGTGGTTGTCTGAATAGTCGACGGAGCAAGAGAATATAGCATATAATAAGTATAAATGAAAAATGCAAACATTTGAATTCGCGGTTATGTTAACTGGGCTTTAGTGTTTATTTTTGCTGAACATTCTGACAAAAGTAACTACTACTCTCATAGCCTTTTTACATAAAAGGCAGCTAAATTCTGTCTATTGGTATTATATTACCAAAAACATTTATGTACATACATACATACCTTCTCCTCGATACCGCTGATAGCATCGGGAGACTAGCTGTCTGTAGCAGGACCGAGTGTGCGTCGTCACGACCTACTCTCCACTCCTCAATTATTATTTCTGCCGTTGCTGTTGATTTTTTTGTTCATTCTGACAAACCGTCTATATTCCCGCCCATAGGTACCGCTTCGTGGAGCTGTATTATCGGCGCAACGAGACCACGCACAAGGGCAAAACGGTACCGGCTAGAGTCGAGACCGTGGTTCTCTTCTTGCCCGACGTGTGGAGCTGCCTGCCCACGCGCCTCGAGTGGGACGGACTACGGCAGAGCTACCGCAGTCGCCTGGAAAAGATCCTGAAAGTTGGGGAGGAATCGGACGACGGCAACAGCGTCAACACCGCCGCCGCCGCCTCCGCTACCAGCACCACAGATGAAAAGGCACCGACTTTTATTTCTATACGTATAAGATAACTAAAGATAGTCAAGTCATTAAAAACACATAGGCTAGGTATTACTGTCGCTGTGAGCTGTGGCTGGGCCAGACTTCATACTCTCTCAGACGCCAATATTTTTTATCTCTTTTTTTTCTACACTGAACGAACGATGATTTGAATGAATGACAGGGCGTGAGGTATATGTGTGTCAAAAACATACCCGGTTTTACATTAATCAAAAATATTAATTTTATATTATCCACTATACAGGACGAGGATTCAGCTGCTGAGAAACTGGAACCTACCCATTATTCGCAGCTGGATACTAAGTGGATGACGGTGGTGGATTTGCGTAACGAATTGAAGGCGAGAAATCAGAGTTTTAAAGGTCTGAAGTCGCAGTTGATCGCTCGTCTTAACAAGATACTGAAAGCTGAAGCACAGAAAGATGGGGAAGAGACCGTAGAGAAAGAAAATGGAGATGATGTTGAGATGGAAGCAGTGCCGGAAGAAAAAGAAGAAAAAGAAAAGAAAGTCGAAGTAAGTAAAAACTTTTATATCCAAGTAAATTATGCAGGGTCGCTGATATGTATGGGAACCATGGTACAAAGGAAACAAGGTATGATCGATAGCGGCTTCAATTTCGTTCAGTTTGCGTATATCACCTGTGGCGTCATATGCCATACAAAAACATATCCATATTGTTCAATTTCCACTAATAAAAAAGACCTAAAATAGGGAAGATTTAGGACATAACCTCAAATGTTATGTCAAATCATGAAGCTTGACATTTGAAAAGTTATGACACATTTATTATATGTCATCTGTTTGATAATTTGAAATTGGCGCGCGGAGCTTGCCGACCAATGGTGCCGCTTATCACCTGTGACGTAGTGACCAACCTGCGCAATATCATACCTAGTTTTCTTTGTATCATGTATAGGAACGGTTGATTATTAGGTAAAATATAAGAGGTACCCTTAGGAGGTACCACAAAAAGTTAATTACAAAAGTTATAGGGTTTTTAAATATCTATTAGCGGGTAATTAATTTAAGTATCCAGGGCCGGGGGGCGGTCGTAAAGTCGTGGCACATCAAAGTTTTATTTTTTTTTAAATGGAACTCCCTGTATATTATTACATATTTCAGTTCTTCCAAAGAGTAGATAAGACAAGAGACGACAGTGAACAAAGAAGTCGAATTTAGCGAGAGAGACGCAAATATATTAAAATTTAAAGGTCCCATCAAGTCCCATTTTGTCTGTTGCCGAGTATATTTCTTTGAAAAATAAACAAGATTTTCTGAAAATAAATTAATAATATAAGAAGGATATAAGTAACGTATGTTAATACGGAAATGTAAATTTTTAGTTTAGGTTGGTTTAGGTTCTTTTTTCGCAATATACTGATAATAACAAAGAAACAGAATGTCTGTAGTTGATCGATTTCAAAGATAAACAGATAAAATCTGAAAATCTGACAACGGCGTATTTTATTTATTCTAACCTATGATTTTAGGACGCTAATCAGCTGTGCTAATCAGGCTTAAACATAAACAAATCTGATTAGTTGTTTTCTTGCATTTTTGCCTTATAAAGACTGCAAAAATAGGTCTTATTCTTCGACAAACATAATATTTCACTCTTTTCCAAAGGATCCTGAAAAGTATTTTCATAGAAATATACTATATAATTATGTTATTAAACTAAATGTAATCCATAGTTCGAAGACATGGTTAGAAGCTTGTAATATATTTTTACAAAAAAAATTGAGCAACTCTATTTTTTTGTACGTAAACTCCACATTGGGATATTACACTTGTTCAAGTCCATATGTAAAAAAAATACACGTAAATAAAATATTTCTTACAAATCGACTTGGTCACTTTATCTTGTTTACCAACGATATACAAAATATTGCTTTTATTATCTTTATTCCCCGACAAATATGTTTCTAATTATAATTTATTTTATATAATATTTAGAAAACTCTTTTTTTTTCGTTTCTATTTATTTCTTTACCCATACAGTAACTATTTAAAAGCTATACAGGCAAGTTTTAATAATAGTCTATTTCATATTTCCTGCGAAAAAATTACGAAAATTTAAAGGGACAAGCGAGACGAGGTCACTCTCCCCACCACTCAAACATGAAAGGTACCGCGCTAACTGTCGTCTCTTGTCTTATCTACTCTTTGGTTCTTCCTTCAATACTAAGCAAAAATCGAAATACCCATAATGTACCTTAAACCAACCGTTTCCGAGTTATTTACTCTTAAAAATCACTTAAACCATTCGATTTAATTAATTTCGATGCGTTTGGTTTCATTTAATGATGTCATTCTGCGGAAATGAATTCGATACGAATATTCGATAGAAAATTAAATTCTGAATAGAATGACAAATCATACATATATGTCAACTTTTGACATCTTGACGGAAACAAAATAGTATTTTAAATTTCATTCTAGGGTGTCACAACAATAAATGTAACAGTTTGACTGGAAATACCAAATATGTAATACCAAATTATTCATAAAAAATGCTTTTTCCAACTACGCTAATGAGCCACTCACGTTTCATTTGAAAAATTTGAGATACGATTAAAAATACGATTTGACCAGGACAAGACACAGAAAATGCCCCTTGATTAAAAATTAGTGTTTTTAACCCAGACTTTTTTTTTAAATAAAACTCTTTTTTTGGCGAATCAATTTGCGACTTTGGCTTATTTTGAACCTTTTATCTTTTAACAAATTGTCAAATAAAAAAAATATTAGCTCAAAGATACAAATATTATATCTTGTCAATGTTAAGTTTTGAATCTATCATATATTCGAAAAAAAACGACGTCCAGTTGGCTTGGAAATGACGATCGATGACATACCCCATGCAATTTTACATATAAAACTGACAGCGTTCTTCATTTCATAGCCATCGCTGACGCCGTTTTTTTTTCGATCATAATGTATTTCTATCAGGTGGAAGAGAAAAAATTAGATGAACAACAAAAACGTCTGTTGGAGAAACGTTACACGCTGCCTGAACAGCCGCATCTTATCGTACATCCATCCAAAACAGCCAAGTCTGGAAAATTCGACTGCACAACTATGTCGCTGTCTTTGTTACTTGACTACCGTCCAGAGGATACCAAAGAACATTCTTTTGAGGTACATTATTCTATATTAGGAATATATAGATTACGTTAAATATTTTATATTGCATAACTGTCAAAAAATGATAAATTTTCCTTTAATGCTACCTGAAAGTTCAAAGAAGTATTTAAAATGTTCACATTTTATCGCTATTTAGGTGTCGCTTTTCGCCGAACTATTCAACGAAATGTTAATGAGAGATTTCGGTTTTAACATTTTTAAAGCCCTGTACGAATTACCTCAAAAGCCAAAGGAAAAGGAGGAGGACAAAAAGAAAAAAGACGATAAAAAAAGCGACGAAAAGAAGAAAGAAAAGAGAGAGGAGGAAAAGAAGGACAAAAAAGATGATGAGAAAGAGAAGAAATCTGAAGAAAGGTAATTTTACACTTTTTTGTTATTTAGGGAATTAGAAAATATTCCCAACAAATTATTTTTTCATTATTGAGTTTATATTTGAAGGGTCCAGGGGAAAAACTTAATAAGTGCCAATTTCTTAATTTTAGAATTTTACAATGTTATAGTAGGTTAAAATATAGAATACACGACAAGTACCTGATAACTACCAGCCATCCGGTGTCCTGTAAAATCAGTGAAATAGCACTTATCACGTTTTTCCCCTGGACCATTCATTTATTTTATAATTTATCCTGCATTGTTTTTTTATAAAAAAATTGTGCGTGCTATATGAGCATATTTCAAATGAAACTTCTTACTAACAGCTATTGAATTGAAGGATTTGAAGGACATGTTTGAAAAAATGTAGTTTGAAATGTTGAAAAAGAAATACATTAATAAATAATTTGCTTCATTTTCACCAAATTTGTATTAAAATGACCGTCTGTCCGTCTGAGGACTCCATTCCGGTACCTCTATTTACGTGTTGAGTTTGGCTCCAATCGACCCATAATTAAGAAAAACATCCTAGTGATTTCGTCCATTTAGAGGCATCGGCTCGAAACGTCGAGGGCGTCATCCTGTAGCCCGTCTCCAATTATGCCAAAATCGACCCACATTATTCTTCAATGTCAAATCCTTAGATGAAGATGTTAACGAAACGTCGTATCCAACTTTGCAGAGTGAGACCGTATGCATCGTCGTACCTCACATAGCCTACCCACCAAATTTTGTAGCGATCGGACGACATCAACTTTGACGTTTCTTACGTCAAAACTAACTGCCACAGTGACACGTGTCGTACGCGGTCAAGTTGGCCTTGGTCCAATCTATCGTCATACCAAATTTCATTTAAGTCGGACGTTTTTTTTGCCATTGATGATGGAGTTTCATAGCGCACGAAACGTCGTCAAAATATCGTGAAAAGAGGATCTACATTCCGAGTTTCAGCCCCCTAGCTCACATAGGGCTTATAAATTGCATACTTACATAGATATTCAAAGAAAAATAAATTATACAATAATTGTGAGATTGTATGATTTATTTTTATATTGACTCTGATTGTATTGGTTTTCTTCAGTAGGATTATTATAATTATTTTATTGTATTTCTTAGTGATTCTAAAAAAGACAAGGAAGATGAAGACAAAAAGAAAGAACACATTAGGGATTCGAAGAGAGAAGATCGCAAGTCCGACGACAGTGAAGATGAAGAGGATGACGATCAAGAGGACAGAAAGGATAAGAGAGATAAAGACAAGAAAAAGAAAGAACGTGTTAAACTGTACACGAGAGACAAACATTTGTTGTTATCCTTCGTGTATTTTGATCAAACTCACTGTGGATATATTTTTGATAAAGATATTGAAGAGTTGCTATATACTTTAGGTAAGATTTTTCTTTCATATTAACATACTTCTGAGGTTTTAAACGTTTTTATGATTAGCATTATTAATTGATGATTACAACCTAAAGAATAGAGAAAATGAGGTGTATTAATTAATTCTGCGAGAGGTTCTAATATGGCCGATCTAACTTCCGGTTGATCAGTGGCGTTCGATTTTTTTTAATGTTATAATGAAAGTAGGATGCATTCGCCAATTTGCTGTGTTTTTTTTTCTGTTGAGTGAAATAATATTAATTAAAATAGATGAAAAATGAACAATTATCATTACATAATTATGAATATTAATGAAAATACATAAAATTAACGAAGGTATCCTAATTATATTTGACTGGTAATAAATAATGCGGAAATATGCAAAAATAAAAACGAGTTGAAATAAAAAAGTATTTTTGGTATGGTTTGATAATTAATGTTATATTCTTAATCATCGATTCACAATATTAAATATCTGTGTAAACTAAACGTGTATCCATAGCAATGTTATACCCCACTGGCAAGGTTTGGGTTTGGGTTGGGATTTCCGTATGTAAGAAGAGTACAATGCATTTATAATGTACTGAACAAAGAGAGAAAAGTAAAAACGTTGCCAAACGTATGAAATATACCGAGAAACTGTATACATTGCTAAGAGACGTGGAAGGGAATATGGCAGCTTCGTCGCGGTCGACACTGGCACACTGCATAAACTAAACATAAAATTTAAATCCAGTACTTAGAATTCCAGGGAAGGGTGTACATCGTGCGTTCAGCTTCACAATTTAATTACGTCTTATACTTTATTTGTTTAATTATTAACGGATTGATGTAATTTTCCTTATAGCTTGTAAATTATTAAATGCAAGTTAGAAATTAAACGGCGACTCTAAAATGCCCAGACCACTTTTGGTAAAAATAAGTGAAATTGAGTTGGTGCTAGACAGTGGTCGGTGCTATTAGAAGACTGAATTCAAAAATCAATATATCGAAATTTATTAGAAATAAATGATTGTGGCTTTTTTTAAATTCTTAATGTTTCTGCTATATTTTGTTCTGACAGTATGTGAAAATCTTTACAGACAAAAAAGTTACATGATTGCCGAATATTACCATACACTAAAAGTTGATGGACGCTTTTTAAAAAAATTTTGAATGGAAAAAACAAGTCTATCAAATTTTTCTCATTTAAACATTTTGTTGAAGATCCGAACTTCAGGATAAAAAAAGAAAGTTTCAATATCTAAAGTGGTTCTTGAGTTATCTTGTATATGTGTTAAGAAGATGAATTTTCAAATTACCGCGATTATTGACGTATTATGCATCATTATAAAAAAATGGACACCATAATGATATTCTTATAACTCGATTTCAGATGCCCAGAAACATATGCAATTATTTTATCTAGTTATCTTACCAAAAAAAACTTAGAAATAAGCGTCTTTTGACCAGGGAAACCCGCACTTGTATCTCCGGCAAATGTGGCAACGCCGCCACAGCTCACCGTCGCATTTTTCTCACACTGACTTAAAAGATTCCTACGCGATTCACTTCCACACACGTAAATACCGACCCAGTTGAATTACTGCCAGCGCGATATACCCAATTACCTTTTACCTCATTAATTGCAGGTTTAAGTCTGTCCAGATCGCAAGTGAAGAAACTCGTTAGCAAAGTGGTAACGAGAGATTCGTTGCATTATAGAAAGTTGACGGACAAACCAAAAGAAGAAGAGAAAGATCAGGAGGAAGCTGAAGAAATTCAGAGCGCAAAAGCAATAGATTGGCACGAAATTGCTCAGGGCAACAGAAAATTGCTTTCAATATTTTCCAGTGATGAAACTTCTTCGGTTAAGAAATCCAGCAATGAAGATGCAGAAAATTCTAATTCCGATAGCGGTAAGTTTTATAGAAATTTAGAAAAAAAAGAAAATTGAAATCAGTAATTTTAATTATTTGATTTAATATTAATATACATTATGTCCCCGAATTGTCTTTCTAACAGTGCCATACTCTGTACAGAGCGTCGGCTACCTCTCGCATGTACTTATATGTGTCATCAGTACTTTACAAGTACACGAGACCTACTGTTTATCGCCGAATCCGAACAGCACTATTTGAGAGGCTGTACAAGGCAAATATACTCAAGGTGGTTTGCCATTGCCTTCCTTGAGGTGGCGGCTCACTGGTCGCTCTATTTAGATAAATAAATATTTTTATTTAAATAAATAAAGCGGCCGTACTGGCTGAGGATCGAACCCAGTACCATCTCATCTCTTGCACCGCAGATCGACCCACTGCTTAAACACTGACACACTGCTCCAACAATTGAACTGCTTGAGGCTATGGCCGGCCACGGATTGTCTTTACAAGAGGAAAATCTTTTTTATTATGGACATTTTGAGAAAAATGCATTCTTCATAAAAAAAATTGCTTGTTCTAAAATGGTTAATCTGGTTTATACTTTTCCAAATTTCCATACCGTTTTAGAGAAAACTTAAAAAAACATGAAAATATTATTGAATTCCTAAGTCCTAAAAATTAATAGGCTTTTCTATGGTAATATCATTCCGAATTCATTCCTTGGTAGATTGTTAGAATTTTAATTAATGTAATATTATTTGCTGTTTTAATAATGATAAAGAAGCACAAAATTTATTTAGTTCAGTGCTACGAAATGGGTCATAATAGTTATTGGAAAATGTAATAGTTTAACATCAGCAATGTATAAAAAAAATGACGTTAGTAGAGGGAGATGGCCGATTCACCATCCTCCACAATGTGGAGGAGGTGGAGGAGTGACTAACATTAATTATTAATATGTATAATAGGCTAATAAACAAGAATAAGCAGGTTTGAACCGCTTTAAACCGCTTTAAAATAGAAATAAACAGGTTTGAACAAAAAAATGAACAGGTCTGTTGTTTAAAGCTAAAAAACGGTTCAAAACAGTTCAAAAGCGGTTCAAAGCGGTTCAAACCTGTTTATTCTTGTTTATTAGCCTATTATACATATTAATAATTAATGTTAGTCACTCCTCCACCTCCTCCACATTGTGGAGGATGGTGAATCGGCCATCTCCCTCTACTGACGTTAATCAAAATTAATAAGAACTATGTATCAAAGAATGAAATCGAAATGATATTACCATAGAAACGCCTTTTGATTTTAGGACTTAAAAATTCAATCATATTTTCATGTTTTTCCAATTTTCTCTAAAATGGTATGGAGATTTGGAAAAGTTTAAACGGGATTAAACCATTTTTGAACAAGCAAAAATTGTTATGAAGAATGCATTTTGCTCTAAATGCCATTAATAAAAAGTTTTTCCTCTTGTAAAGACAATTCGGGGACATACTGTATATGATTGATGGTAGAGAGCTGTCGTACCTTACCGATACCGACGATTTTACAGAATAGCGCCCCAGGTGTTATTTCCTTTACGTGAGGAGGTATTAACTCTCTTCATTTAAGCTACACGCACACTGGTGCGATCACGGCCGTGATCACGATCACGATCAGGGCGGCAATAAAGTGTTTGTACACTTAAATCCTTGATCGTGATCGTGATCGTGATCGCGGCCGTGATCGCGCCAGTGTGCATACAGCTTTATAGTTATCGGATCAAAAAGAATTCTGATCGCGTTGCGTCCGCTATTTGTTTACTAGGTATTTTAAAACTAAAGGGCTGAAGTGCTTATTTCCAGTGCTTTATTGTTCAACGTCTACCAGTGGGTTTAGGACAACAAGCAACAAATTCTCTTAGAAGGGCTAAGTTGTCATCTGCTGTAAACCTAAGACTCTTTATAGGTTCTTTAGTATTGGAAGAGGTGGAATCCATATTTTGGGCCATATTTATTTAATTAAAACTAATCCCCAAGCTACTTAAATATCAAATTACCTAATAAAAATAAAGCAATAATTCAAAACAATTCAAACATCAACAGCCGGCCGGCTCCGGTTGTCAAATACCCGCACATGCCCATTTAAGCAATTTTTAAACGTTATCAGAGGTTATTTAGAAAGAGCGCTTGGTGTAATTGATCCGCAAATTACGTCAAGCGGTAACGTTATTAGCGGGTGTTGCGTTAAAAATTGACTCGCGCATATCGTAACCATGATAAGGTACGCGTAAATACTGGATGACGCTATTCGGTTTTCCGATATCTCTATAATAACTGTGCCGGTCAGGCGCTGTGCACAATTTTAGAGGCCATAAGTGGGCGTGCTATGTGCACAAACTAGTCACCTAACTAGTGCCCGATTCCGAAAATTGGAACCACGAAAAACAATAAAGAAAAAACAAAGATTATAATCTGTATAATCTGTGCTACTAACTACCGAATTTTGTCGACCGGCGGAAATTACTGGGAGAGTGGTGCTACTAGATGTTTATACTATGGATTAATGTCAAGCCGGTAAAAAAATTAACCTCTAAGACCAAAGTCCGCATAAGAGTTTAAAGTGCTTAAATAACGATGATAATAAATTCGGACATCAATCATATACAGTATGTCCCCGAATTGTCTTTACAAGAGGAAAAACTTTTTATTAATGGCATTTAGAGCAAAATGCATTCTTCATAACAATTTTTGCTTGTTCAAAAATGGTTTAATCCCGTTTAAACTTTTCCAAATCTCCATACCATTTTAGAGAAAATTGGAAAAACATGAAAATATGATTGAATTTTTAAGTCCTAAAATCAAAAGGCGTTTCTATGGTAATATCATTTCGATTTCATTCTTTGATACATAGTTCTTATTAATTTTGATTAACGTCAGTAGAGGGAGATGGCCGATTCACCATCCTCCACAATGTGGAGGAGGTGGAGGAGTGACTAACATTAATTACTAATATGTATAATAGGCTAATAAACAAGAATAAACAGGTTTGAACCGCTTTGAACCGCTTTTGAACTGTTTTGAACCGCTTTTTAGCTTTAAACAACAGACCTGTTCATTTTTTTGTTCAAACCTGTTTATTTCTATTTTAAAGCGGTTTAAAGCGGTTCAAACCTGTTTATTCTTGTTTATTAGCCTATTATACATATTAATAATTAATGTTAGTCACTCCTCCACCTCCTCCACATTGTGGAGGATGGTGAATCGGCCATCTCCCTCTACTAACGTCATTTTTTTTATACATTGCTGATATTAAACTATTACATTTTCCAATAACTATTATGACCCATTTCGTAGCACTGAACTAAATAAATTTTGTGCTTTTTTATCATTTTAAAACAGCAAATAATATTACATTAATTAAAATTCTAACAATCTACCAAGAAATGAATTCGGAATGATATTACCACAGAAAAGCCTATTAATTTTTAGGACTTAGGAATTCAATAATATTTTCATGTTTTTTTAAGTTTTCTCTAAAACGGTATGGAAATCTGGAAAAGTATAAACCAGATTAACCATTTTAGAACAAGCAAATTTTTTTATGAAGAATGCATTTTTCTCAAAATGTCCATAATAAAAAAGATTTTCCTCTTGTAAAGACAATCCGTGGCCGGCCATAGCCTCAAGCAGTTCAATTGTTGGAGCAGTGTGTCAGTGTTTAAGCAGTGGGTCGATCTGCGGTGCAAGTGATGAGATGGTACTGGGTTCGATCCTCAGCCAGTACGGCCGCTTTATTTATTTAAATAAAAATATTTATTTATCTAAATAGAGCGACCAGTGAGCCGCCACCTCAAGGAAGGCAATGGCAAACCACCTTGAGTATATTTGCCTTGTACAGCCTCTCAAATAGTGCTGTTCGGATTCGGCGATAAACAGTACACAACACCCGCTAATAACGTTACCGCTTGACGTAATTTGCGGATCAATTACACCAAGCGCTCTTTCTAAATAACCTCTGATAACGTTTAAAAATTGCTTAAATGGGCATGTGCGGGTATTTGACAACCGGAGCCGGCCGGCTGTTGATGTTTGAATTGTTTTGAATTATTGCTTTATTTTTATTAGGTAATTTGATATTTAAGTAGCTTGGGGATTAATTTTAATTAAATAAATATGGCCCAAAATATGGATTCCACCTCTTCCAATACTAAAGAACCTATAAAGAGTCTTAGGTTTACAGCAGATGACGACTTAGCCCTTCTAAGAGAATTTGTTGCTTGTTGCCCTAAACCCACTGGCAGACGTTGAACAATAAAGCACTGGAAATAAGCACTTCAGCCCTTTACTTTTAAAATACCTAGTAAACAAATAGCGGACGCAACGCGATCAGAATTCTTTTTGATCCGATAACTATAAAGCTGTATGCACACTGGCGCGATCACGGCCGCGATCACGATCACGATCACGATCAAGGATTTAAGTGTACAAACACTTTATTGCCGCCCTGATCGTGATCACGGCCGTGATCGCACCAGTGTGCGTGTAGCTTAAATGAAGAGAGTTAATACCTCCTCACGTAAAGGAAATAACACCTGGGGCGCTATTCTGTAAAATCGTCGGTATCGGTAAGTTACGACAGCTCTCGATACGTATTTGTATATAGTAAAAATGTGTTAATTGTTGTTGCCATAGTTACCGATCGGTCCTATGGCAGATATCGCAAATTTGTACCGACGAAAATCGGTATCTCTACCGTGCCCTTGTCAACCTCACGGTAGAGATACCGAGAGTCGTCGGTACAAATTTGCGATATCTGTCATAGGGCCGATCGAAAACTATGACAACAACAATCAACACGACGCTCATTGGCCGTACGTACCGATAGCTGTCGGTAACTTGCCGATACCGACGATTGTACAGAATAGCGCCCCTGGCTTTATTAACGTCCATGCATGCTATTCGGTTTAGCGATATCTCTCTATTACGCTGTTTATTGTTATTTTACGCGAGTTTATTTTTGCGCACAGGAAATTTGACTCGTTTGCACATCGTCATAAAAAACAATTTTCGTACCACGAATTAGGGACAAGATTTTTATCTGTATACTTATAGAATACCTAATCTGTGTTAGTAGCTTGTAGAGCGTTTCAGATGCAATCAATCCATCGTTCGCGCTGCGAGAGTCAAGCGTTTCGTCCCAGAACAGCATGGATGTAAAAAAAGTCAATACCAAAATGTGCATATACTTACCGTACCTTATACTTTACTCAACAAAAGATTTATTTTGTTTTAAATGAATCTGCGAGGTCTCTGGCTAAATTTTGACAAAATTTCGATTTCAAATTCATTTTTCGCCTCTTGTACCAATCTGCTTTATTTGCAAACTCGAGCGAAAATTTGCTCTAGTACCCGAGTATTATCACTCGATTATTGTAATCGCTCTAACCTTGAGTACTCGATTATCTAAATTCATCGGTTAACCCAAAATTTTCATTTTTAAAAATATTTTTAACCACCATTTGTTTTAAGGATTAACGGTGTACCAAGGAGCTGTGGTGGATATTGGAAAACTCCTCTCCCAACTAGAACGAAGCGAAAAAGCCAGAATAGAAACGGAACAGCTAATGGTGGATCTTAAAAACGAAAATAACAAGCTGTCCGAAAAATACAGCAAGTCAAATTCGACGATTAAGCATCTCACTACCGAAGCGAAAGATTACAAAGAGAAATTAAGAAGTACGAGGATGCCTTAGGACGCGCAAACGTAAGTTTTCACTTTTTATGTCTCTTTCTTAACGGTTTCATCGTCATCATAATCATCATTTTCAGCTTATTCAACCATTTCCGATTATGGTGTACACTCCCTCACATATTTAGATACTTTCTTTGTAGTTGGGCCCTTGTAGTTGGCTATGCAGGCCTAAGTTATCCCGACCCAGTTCCTAATATCATGGTCCCATCTCAGATTCCGTCTTCTTCTAGGTCTCTTAATGTGTGGTACCATGCAGTATTGTGGTGCAGCTGTTGCCCGTCCTTCTTGCCAGGTGTTCTGCCCATTGCCACTTGAGGGATTTGATTCTGTGGATGATATTACCTGGATCTTTTGTCACATCCACTCTATTCTTTTACGGTCTTTCTTGGTTATTCCCAGCATATTTCGTTCCATTGAGCGTTGTGCGACCTGCAATTTCCTTATAATGTCCGTTTTAAATATCCAAGTTGCTCGTACATAGGTCATGACTGGTACTACACATTGGTCAAATGTTTTCTTCTTTAGATAAAGTGGCATTCTAGATTTGAATATGATGAGTTTCTTCCATAGGTACTCCATAATAACTTAATTCTTCTGTTGATTTCTGGTCAGTAGAGATCCCGAGCTGTGTATTAGTTGTCCCAAATATATATATTTTACTATTTCCAGTGTTCATTTTTACTACCAACCTCTATTTTTTCAGGCACATGCTAAGTTGTTCCAGACAACTTTGATAGACATCCGCGATAAGATTGAGCCAGTCTTAAAAACGGCGTCTCACAAAGAAGAAAGGAAGGACAAAGACAGGGATAGCGACAAAAAGAAACACGATGATGGAAAATCGAAGTGGGAAAGAGATAGAGACACCGTGAAACGAGATACCGACAAAGAAGTAAAAAAAGACCAAGAAATTAAAAAAGAACCTAAAGAAAAAGATGAAACTAAAAAGGAAACCGAACCTGTTAAAAAGAAAGAACAAGAGACCGACGAAAAGAAAGAAGAAAATCAAAAAAGTGAATCAACAGAAAAAGAATCAAAATAGTCGGGTTAATGTGAGTTTGAATTTGTACTACTTAAGTGTTTGGGAAATATTTTTTGTTTTCTTTTTATTAAAGGGGTTTAGTAATTTTGCACACAATAGGAGTAAAGCGAAAGCGTTCTTTTTATTAATACTATTAAAGTAGGGTTGCTTCTTATTCAGCTTAGTTGTAAATGTTTTGGTTCTTCACTTTCGGTTCAATATTTTTAATAAACTTTTTGAGACAGACGTGGGTTTTATTATATATTTTTAAGTTCAACATCATAAGTTCACATTAATATCATGAAGTTATAGGTGTTAGAAAGAAAGGTATTGAAATAAAGAATAAAAGACAGTATAGAACATTTAAAGACACTTAAAAAAATACAACTAAGTGATGCTAAAAAATATTAAAAAGAAAAAAAAAGTTACAAAGAAGATATTAAACTAAAATAATAAAAACAAAGTACAATATATAAAAAGAGTGGATGAAATTAAACATTGTTAAAGAAGTTATCTACAGAATTATAAGAAAATAATTTTAAAAAAAGTGCTCTTAAGAATCTGATTTAAGATAGACATTCGAGTTAAGCTTCATTCAGAACTTCAAAATTGGGGGAATAAGTGGTTTCAATTAGCGTTTAAGTTTGTTCCTCTTATTTCAATGTAAGCATTCAAAATGTCGAAATTAATGGTAGTAATTTTCAATTACTCGAAAAAGTTAACAAAACCTTTAGCTTCATTCAGAACCTCGCAATTAGCGGTTCACACTTTATACTTTCATTTACACTTTATACTTTTTAGTTTATGATCATTCACAATGTCTCAAAAATAAATTAAAATTAATAGAATATCCTAGAACAACTTGAGGTAGTCAGTAGTGATAGAGAAAGCCCAATATTTAGCTTATACAGGTAAATACAGGTTATACAGGTAAATACAGTTACTTATAGGGGAACAGAATGGCAACACTGCCTATCGAGAACGCATGCACTTATAGGGTTTTCTGCCGACTAGTCCCGTCGCGTTATCTATCGACGAGCGGGCCGAGGTTGCCATATTGCCACATTGCCGCGAGTAATAAACAAATTAACAACCTGTATAACAATAAACTTTTGATTTCTAACTACAATTTCTCTTGACGGATGATAATAAAAGGCGAAAATGGAATTCACACTGCAAATTTTTAAGTATAATTAATGGAAAAGTTAAAAGTTTGTTAACTTTTTCTACTAATTGAAAATTACTACCACTAATTTTGACGTTCTGAATGTTTACATTGAAATTAGAGGAACAAATTTATACGCTAATTGGAACCACTAATTTTGGTTATGAATGAATGGAATGATTGAATGGGGCTTTATAACGATATGTGGTATTATTTTGACTTCTTTGACAGTTAATGTGTGTCATAATAAGCCTTAACGCCGCTATTTAAAAACATTATGTTCTCAATTGAGAAACTGTATTTTTTTTTAAATATAAATAAATGTAATTAACTTAAAACATACCTATGTTTCTATTAAATATTACATTGAGTCACTGAATCGACATTTGGTATGTTAGTATATGACATAAATTAGGATTGATTGACCTATTCATTTGTTTTAGATCACTTCCTGTTTCACCGGAAATGACTACAACTTTTGATTTTTGAATGGTACCCCTTGGTACTTTGTTACTTTATTCGATAGAAAATGACATATCATATGTCAACTTTTGACATTTCGAATATGGTTTATTTGAAATTACAACATGCGATTTATAAGGACATTTTGACTCGAAGTACCAAGTGTGTGGTACCAAATTATTCGTAAAAAATGTTTTTGCCAAATATGGTAAGCCCCCTCGTTCCATTTGAAAAAATTAAGATTTGATTAAAAATACGATTTTTTCGCATCTTTTAACCGGCCAGGAGAAGACACTATAAACAATAGACGATCAAATCTCAAAGCTCCTTGATTAAAAATTAGCGTTTTTAACCGTCATGGCACTCTAGATTGAAATTTAAAATATAATTTTGTTTTAAGCGGAAACGTCAAAAGTTGACATTTGATATGTCATTCTATTCAGAGTGTCATTTTCTTACCGAATAAAATAGAAAAATACCGAGAGTGCCATTTAAAAATTAAAAGTTGTAGTCATTTCCGGTGAAACAGGAAGTGGTCGAAAACAATTGAATACGTCCATTAATCCTAATTTATGTCATATACTAACATACCAAATCTCGTTTTTTTATCTAAAAAAGTAAAAGTTATAGGGGTAAGCCACTTTTAAGACGCACCCGGTATATTCATCCGTTGCGTATCTGAGGGACAAAATTTTCATGACCTGCATCGACAATGCTTCGAAATAAACTAAATCAAGCGATCAAGCGAATCGCTCGCTACTTACTACTTGCCGTTCATTACCGAAATAGTATAGTAGCCCGGTACATGACTGGTATACGGCCGGTATAGTAGCTCGCCGAGTCACTTATTATAAATTATCTAGGAGGGAATCCAGAATTACTACTTGAAGATATTGTTTACTCTTTTGTATATAAATTAGTAGTGGGAACTATCGAATGAATACTATCGAAACATTCGATAGTTGCAATTCATTCGAATAATTCGATAGCTAGTAAGAAAACATTCGTTGAAAACTATTCGAATAAAAATTATCGAATAGATGCGTCATCTGCCTTGAAATATTGTATTCTAGTAATTCGGCACCAAAAACCATTCATTTATAAAATTCATTCATTTATGAAATTCATTTATTCGTCAGGATCGATTATAATAAAATATTAACTGGATTTTAGTTGTCGCCCGGCGACGTAGGTTTCTTTCCGAGAAACCCGACAGCAGTCGGTGGCAATGCTATGAAAGAAGCCGGCATCTTTGATTTTTTGCGGAGTCATAAAGATAAGGACACATTATTTTTTTTATTGAGGTGCTAGTATTTACACAGAAAATACATTATGAAGGGCGCTGTTGCCATATATTGGTATTAGTTGATATTAGCAAAGAATATTATTGTTTGTCTTTAGTTAGTTAGGGATAGTATGTCTATATATTTTGCATTTTTTTTATTAATATTCTGTTGTTACACTGCAATAATACTTGTTATTTTGGATGTAGGAAAATGATTTTTAATGTTTTTAAGCAAAGATTGGTTTAATAAAAAATAATAATAACAGTAATGATTTGTTATACCTATTAACAACAAAATTTAAAATAATTTAATATATTTTTTTACGTAGTAGCAAAATATAAACAACAAATTAGATGTCAAAATCATTTATATTAGATCCTATTTAAAAATAATATAGTCTTTAAATTTTTTGGCAACGTTGGTTTATTAAATAATAATAATTACAGAACTAATTTGTTATATTAACAACAAACTTTAAAATCATGAAATATAAACATTTATTAATTTTCTAAGCATGCAGTGTAATGGAAGGAAAATATAAATAAAAAATTAGAAATCAAAATTATTTACATTAGGTACTTTGTATTACTATTTAAAAATAATATTTACTTTTACTGGCATTTACTTTAAAAAATAAATGCAATATTTCTTTGCAAAAAACTACATGTAAGAGAATTAGCATAAACAAAATACCAACATCGTTAACTTTTTTTTAAATTGGCATGTGTAAAACTTTCAATTTAATTTTCTCATCCTATAGTTTGAGTTCGATAACATTTACTTAACCACATTACTTAAATATGATTATTAAGTTCAACTAATTCATATTATTAAAACATCTAAAATACAAATATGTATTTTTAAAATTAATTCTAAGTTCATCTCATCTCTCTTAAAAATTGCTTCTTCTCAAAATTTCCCATTAAAAAATAGACCATATACCATATAAAATAAAATAATTGAAAGATCGGGCTACGGAAAATCACACAAATTTTCGGAAAAATTTTGACCACCTGCACACGCACACAATCGTCAATTTAAAAAAAAACTACTATTCTAGTATTTTAAATATTTTAATAAACGCAAAAATAGCACAGTATTTATAAGGCGAAGTTATAAAAATTTGGAAGAAATAATAATGCACTCACGCACACAAAAATCAAACGAATACTAAATTTCATTTATCAAAAGCATTCGATAGCAACGATAACCATTTAGTCGCACGGCGAGGTTGTCACATATGCTTTAGTATACAAATGAATGAATGATTTTATTCGAATAAAACCATTCGATAGTTGAAATCATTCATTCATTAACCATTCGATAGTGTAATTCATTCGATAGTTCCCATCGCTAATATAAATATAATTTTAAATTACTTAACCACAGCCAACAAAACTGAAAATACAGATAGTAAAAGTTAGATTAAGATGAGTTTACAAATTTTATCAGACTTCAAATAAATCAATACTATTTTGCAGTGGACTTGCTGCTAAGTCTTGCGGACTTAAGTTATGTTAAAAACCGGAGATAGAAGAATAACTTAAGGAAATAAAATAGATTTAAGCGTAGTTTACACGGGCAAGTAAATTATTGCAAGTATATGTCTGAGAGCACTTCTACCAAACTTGCATAATGTAAACAGTATCCGAAGGCACTCTCCCAGCAAGTCACAAAACTGGCGGGGAAGTGGTTGCGACGAAAGACGCTTGCAAGTGTAAACAGGTTGGGAGAGTGCTCTGGCAAGTTAAAATTTATTTCCGTCTTGTTGAAAGTTTTTGGTGCAAGTGATTTTCGAAGGCGTGTTAAATAACGATATTAACGGAGTATGTGGTTGACAGAAGATACCATCACTTTGATTAACTTATTTGAAGGATTTCCGGAATTGTGTCAAAAAAATCGAAAATTTACAGAGATAGAGCTAAAAAGCAAAAAGCAATCAAATTTATAGCTGACAAATTCAACACAACTGAGGCTGAGATTCAGTGGAAGCTACATACTATTCGTACCCAAGCAAACCAGGAGTGGAACAAAATTATAAAAAGAAAAAGTAAAATCGACTTCTGACATTCGCAGAAAATGATTTAAATGCTTTGGGTCTTCATTTCTTTTTTTTAATAACATCGCGTAAGCTCCAAGACTAGGCCTTCTGGCAATCCATTCTTTAACCCATATATTCTTTTTCTAGATTTTCTTGACTGTTTGCGTAAAATTGCAACAAGAAGAGCAGTGGCTGCAGCTCTCTTTTTACGGCGCGACATTTTCCTACTAAACAATATACTTGTGCAATATACACTATACCGTGTATACGTGCATGCAATTTCTTGCTGA